CCATATTACTTCATAAGGGAACCCAGATCGAAGTTTCCCTGCCGGTGTGAGGCATCGCCTTCGGCTTCGGCTTTCAGGTTCTAAGGCTTTTTCCTCGCTGCAAAGAGATGGAGTACAGAACTCCTAAACCCCTAAACCCCTAAACCCCTAAACCCCTAAGCCCCTAAACCCCTAAACCCCTAAACCCTTAACCCCTAAACCCCTAAACCCCCAAACCCCTAAACCCGTAAACCCGTCCACCCGTAAACCCGTAAACCCCTAAACCCCTAAACCCCTCAACCCCTCAACCCCTCAACCCCTAAACCCCTAAACCTCTAAACCACTAGACCCTGACAACGCCCCAGATCTGTCACGCCAACAGCTGCAAAGGTGCCTTCTCCTCTTCCAGTTGCACCTCCTCGGAGTGTTTATTAAACCCTAAACCCTAAACCCTAAACCCTAAACCCTAAACCCTAAACCCTAAACCCTAAACCCTAAACCCTAAACAGCTTCCCTGAAACACTTCAAGGCACACGGACCCTGGGTCTCAGGTTTTCATGTAAGGGATGTCAAACCTATTAACCCCTTAAACCCTTCAACCAATAAACCCTGAACCCCTAAACCCCTAAACCAGCACCCCGAAGTCTAGAAAGTCGAAAAGCCTCCCAAGGGTCCTCCCTAAACCCTACGCCCTACAGCCCTACGCCCTACAGCCCGCAGCCCTAAGCCCTAAGCCCTAAGCCCCAAGCCCCAAGCCCTAAGCCCTAAGCCCTAAGCCCTAAGCCCTAAGCCCTAAGCCCTAAACCCTAAACCCTAAACCCTAAACCCTAAACCCTAAACCCTAAACCCTAAACCCTAAGCCCTAAACCCTAAACCCTAAACCCTAAACCCTAAACCCTAAACCCTAAACCCTAGCTAGGGGCTCCTTCTGCAGCTCCGACTTCAGCCGCTGCTTCTCTGCCAGCGACTGCGCCGAGCTCTCCTACGCCATTCAGGGATCTGGGATGCACCTGCCATAGGGTTTAGGGTTTAGGGTTTAGGGTTTAGGGTTTAGGGTTTAGGGTTTAGGGTTTAGGGTTTGGGGTTTGGGGTTTGGGGTTTGGGGTTTGGGGTTTGGGGTTTGGGGTTTGGGGTTTGGGGTTTTGGGTCTAGGGCTACTATAGGGGCCTGATTTTTTTTTTTTTTTTGGGGGGGGGGGGGTTATTGTAGTGTACTTATAAAGGGGCCATGAATTGATACACTTAGTAATTACTCCGACCCCTATATAGCGTCTCACAACCGAGGTGTTTGGGGGCTTTCCGAACACATCTATCAGCGGGAGCCTTTTCAAGGGGCTCCCTTCATAAGGATGAGCTTGTTTTTGGTGCATACAAGGAGGTCCCCGATTTCGCGGATAGTACCCCTACACTTGCCCTGCTTTCGTTGAGTACTCCGAAACCCTAAGCCCTAAACCCTAAGCCCTAATTAAGCCCTAAGCCCTAAGCCCTAAGCCCTAACGCCTAACGCCTAGCGCCTAAAGCCTAAACCCTAAACCCTAAACCCTCAACCCTAAAACGCACAAGCCTGCGGAGCCAGGTGGTCGAGACTGGAAGGCGAGAATCGCGGGTCGGGGAAGGCCTGGGCTTCCCCCGAAGCGTACTTGGGAGGGTTCACAGTGGTATTTCTGAGAAGTATGGTAAGAATAGGGTTTGGGGTTTGGGGTTTAGGGTTTATGTTTACGAAATAAGTTTAAGGGACCCCTATGATGGGCCCCGAATCGTAGGAGTCCCCCAATAAGGTACCCCCTAATTTCGGAAACCCCCATAATATAAGTAGAGTGAAAATAGTGTAGCTGTAGAAATATTGTTATAGTAGTACAGCTAGTTCAGATAGGGTAGCCATATTTGGAAGAATGGGGTATAGCTGTAACATGCTACGTTGGTCCCTCAAACTGTGCTCTCGATCCTCCAAAACCTTTGCTGCAGCTTTCAACAGCCCCGTGCCCCCCACTCCACCCACCGAGTGGGGTCGAACCCTCTGAAAAATTGGTAAAGTTCAGGGTTGAGGGCTTAGGGTTTAGCGGTCCCTTTCATGATCCGCTCAAAGCCTACTAGGGAAATACAAAACAGACCCCACGGGCACAGAAGTACCTGCGACAACCCAACAGTCGATTCCTCTCGCGGGGGGGGGCTCCAGATCCGAGGTGCTTTGGCCCTCCCTCGAGTGCCTCGGGGGTTTTCGGTTTAGGGTTTAGGGTTTAGGGTTTAGGGTTTAGGGTTCAGGGTTCAGGGTTCAGGGTTTAGGTTTTAAGGTACCTTCGCAATGTCTGCCACGGCACGGAGAGCTCGGTCCACCTGCGGCTGCTCGGTATCCCTCTGTACCCCACCAGTCGCGTTATCAACAACAGTTCTTTCTACGATTTTTTGACGATTTTTTCATGATTGAATATTGAATACTTGTATTCTTATTCTGGCGCATCTGTAATTTCAAACAAGAATAGGGTTCGCAACCCTCTTCCAGCCACACCGCCCGCAATCACAGATTTAGCACCTATTTGCTGCAAACCTAAACCCCCAAGGTATGTAGAACAATAGCCCTGTTATGGGCTTTCGGTTTGTTCTCATATTTCGAAACGGTTGCCAAACGCATCGCGCGCCAGATTCCGTGACATCGGTTGCAGGCCACAGGCTTTGCAGACGTTCCCCATTTTTGCCCCCATGTTTCGGGTTTTGGGTTTAGTGATTAGCCATGTCCCGTTTTTGGGGCACCGTGTTGTCTCACGGCACGCCCAGGGACACGGCGCACCTCCCCGAAACTTGGAAGCGCAAAGACGCTTGGCCAGACTTGACCCGCACTCTGCCAAGAGATCGGCGGGTTTGGGCGTTCAGGGGTTGGTAAGGTTTAGGGCCTTATAGGGGTTTACAGGGTTTTTTTTAGGAGGCTTATAGGGGCTTAGAGTTTAGGATTTTCTTCCCCACCTCGTTTGGGCTTGGCTACATCGCTTGCGATTTCTTGATCAAGGCGAGGGTGTTCGCAGCATGGGCCACCCACCTGGCCCAAGAGCTCCCATCACATCCTCACCATCCTGCACTAAGGTAGCCTACAGTAGCCCCATTCCTTTTTTTTGGGGGTACCTCGAAACCCTAAACCCTTGTGTGAAATTCCTTTACTTCAAGATAAGGGAGCCTTGAACCAAACCAAGGCCAAAAGGGTACCCGGGGTACTTAAGTGCCCAAGACCGCACATGCGCAGCGGATATTTCAGCTTCGGGCTATAAGACTTGCAGGCCCAAACACTTAGAAAGGACCTACACCTTAGCCAATAGGGTGGTATTTTAGGTAGCCCGAGGCCCGCGATGATCTAATCGTCGAAAGCGCCGACCTTCTGAAAAAATGCAATTTGGCCGGCCTCCGCCGCTCAAGGCCGGCCACGAAGGCCTCTACGCCCTCCGCGAAAGCAGCGGGGCGGCAGCAGTCCAAGACCTGATAAAGGTACACGGCCATTTTGGGGCTTATAGGGGTTGATTCAAAAGAAGAAACATGAAAGCTTTGAATTACGCATACTTGAAACAGATAGGCGTCTAAGAAGCAAAGAGTTCTTAAAACGAATGTGGGTTTGTTCGATATTGGGAGGGGGGGGAGGGTGACAGGTGTTGGGATCAGGGTATTTTTTTGTCGGTATGTTTCGGGTGTGTTTTGAGGCTGTTGGTTTGGGGCATGTTTCGTGGCATCATGAGCTACTTTAGATACAATTTCGGGGCTACGTTTCGCTGGTACACTTCGGGGTAGGTTTCAGGGGTATGTTTCGTTCGCGAGTGTGCAACCCTTACGCCCTTCTTAAACACGCGCCTCCCAAAAACGAAAAAAAACGATACAAAGATAAGTACAAGTATAAATACTGAACAACAGAGTTCAACCAGAATATGTATGGTTTAGGGCCGTCGTTAAGGAGCCGACCGGGTCTTGAAAGAACACACACGCGCGCTCGCACAATACATCTCAAAACGTCTTTGCGGAACTCTGCCACTCCGTGGCCCTGCCCGACCTCGCCAATAATGGGCCTACTCGACTAGACCCCGCGCAATGGATCACTACAGGATACATTCTACAAGTGCTACAAGGTCTCAGAATGCCCCTTATACCCCCCCTGATAACCCCCGAAATACTCCCCCTACATACACCCCAGAACCCCTGACACCCCCCTGACAACCCCTTATATACTCCCCAGAACCCCCCCTGATACCCCCCTGATAACTAAACCCGAAACCCTAAACCATAAACCCTCATATCCCCCCTATATATTCCCCACAGTTGGGGAGACCAGGGGCCCAAAAATCGAGAGGCAAGGCGCAAGGCCGCAAAGATCCCGCTGCTGATCGTTCGACAGGTCTGGCAGGAGGCTGGTGCTCATTGCTGTGGGCTGCCGTATAGGTTTAGGGTTTCGGGTTTAGGGTTTAGGGTTTAGAGTTTAGGGTTTAGGGTTTAGGGCTTAGGGTTTTGGGATTGGGGTTTGGTGTTTACTGCTTAGGACTTCGATTTCCTGTGCGGGGGTATCGATGCGGCGTCCCAAAGCACCCCACGCCTTGCGCCCAGGCCACCAGACCAGATCCCAACTCCAGCAATGCCTGGCCAATGGGGGTTTGGGGGATCCACCGTGGTCACAAAGTCGGAAAGACAATTTCGCGAGCCGACAACGTTCGAGCTCCAAACGAGATGTTCACGACGGAACCGCGAGTGTTGCAACGACCGCTGACATGTACTGAAAGCAGCTAACTTCTCTGCACGTCTGAGAGGTGCTTTGGGATGAGTACTCAGCCATGCTATGACATAATGAAGCTGTACAAGAAAGCAGGTAAGAAGTTCAACGCAAGCAGGTGCGAAGCTTGTCTCGCAGATGCTACTGATCTCGAAACGGCTCAACTTTACCTACACCCAGGAGTAACCTAGAGGAATAAATTGGGTGCCCTTTGTGGTTTTAAGGGGATGATGAGGGAACCCCAACCCTATAAAAGAAGGAAGCAAGGGCCAACTCCGGGAAATGGCTTACGGATCCATTTCATTGAGACAGATGGCCTCAGGGCCCCTGTATGCCTGAGCCGTGGACCGAAAGCTGAGGACTCCCGGCTGCTTGTAGAAGCGCAACGCCTTGGCCTTGAGCTTCGGGGTCACATCGAAGATGTGCAGCACATGGTCCTGCGCCCTGAGCCACACCGCATAGTTGGCCTTGGGATGGTCCAGCAGAAGCTCTAAGCACTCCTGGGTCGTCCACACCGTCCCAAGGCTTCCCAGGTACTGTGCCCTGGGGCCGTGTGAGAGGTCCAGGTGCTGTGCGCAGAGAGGTATCCAATTCCTCTGCAGAGTTACCATGCCAGTTGCTCTGTGGTAGGGCATCGAAAACATGGCCCTTCGTGGCACGGCCAGGGCCCGCAGTGACTTGCTGTGGCGATCCCACACCGCGATGTCCACCTCGGATGTCATGGCCCCCACGCAGCCCTCCAGCGTCTCGCAAGTGCCGAGGTCTTTTCCGCACAGCTCCGGCTGCTGGAAGCTCGGGTCCGGCCCCACATGCTGGTCTGGGAAAGCCAAGAAGTTGCCAGTCACTTGAGGTGCAACCTGTCGTACTTGCATCGGCTGGCCCACCAGCTCCTCTAGGTCCGTGCCAGAAGTGCGCTGGAAGTTCTTGACCTTGGGGCCCCAAGCCCACCGCGCGTGGCAAGGCCAGGCCATGGGACAGAGGAAGAGCGTCCAGCACAGGGCACGCCGGGCATCCCCACTGCAGAGACCCCGGATCATGTCTCCGGACTCCCAGAAAGAGATGGCACAAGCACTGCCCACCAAGGAGGAGGTGGCCAGGGGCCAGCGCACCGTGCGCTGGGAGCCGACGCCGAGCATCCTATCCTCTTGGGAGCAAGTCTCCTGTCTCATAGCCCGAGATGGCGCAGGGAGGGCACAAGCACAGCGAACAGCGGCTGGGCGGCAGCCGAGCCCCAGCGCTTGGAGCCTCCTCCATGTACATCAGGGGATCCACCAGAGTCTGCGGTACCAGGACGCTCGCAGCAACCTTGGCCGAAAAGAAGCAGCCAGCCAGAAACAAGCATCCGGACACTGCTGTCAGACCTACGATCACCGGAACTATCCAGCTGGGCAGGTAACCATCTTGGACCATCCCGTCTAGCTCCTCCACTGGGGATTTCGTGCTCGTGAGAAAGGCCAACTCACACACCACCACGAGACCTGCAACGGTCGCAATCGGCAGAATGCTGTATCGGCATGATTCCCACCGACAAGAGGACCCCATGCGAGAAGGAACTCCGCAGGAACAGCTCAAGACTGCACAGTGGGCTTGAGCATCTGACGGACGATGGACATGAGAAACCGCCAGAGAAGAAGCTTTTGGCCGTCAAAAGCTGGTTCAATCTACGGACATATCCTGGGATGGCCCCTTAAAACCTTCTGAAAACAATATGAGGGTTTAGGGTTTAGGGTTCAGGGTTTAGGGTTCATATTCCTGAACATGACCCCTCTTTAACCCAATAAGGGAAAAACAGAAAATGCCCCAAGGGCCTACCTAGTATCCGGCAGCTCCCAAGTCGGGGGCCCTATAGGGTTTAGGGTTGAGGGTTTAGGGTTTAGGGTTTAGGGTTTAGGGTTTAGGGTTTAGGGTTTAGGGTTTAGGGCATGCAAGAGCATCTGACTGGATTCCTGCGTTGGCCCGTGGAAGTCTTCATCGGGTTCGCCGCGCCGCTGGTCATTTTTAAAGGGAGTATTTGGGAGCCTTGGGGTTCCAGACCCACTAAACCCTAAACCCTAAACCCTAAACCCTAAACCCTAAACCCTAAACCCTCAACCCTAACCCCAAACCCTAAACCCTAAACCCTAAACCCTGAACCCTAGACCTGGTTCTCGATCTGTGGCTTGAGGCGATTACCCATTTCCCAGCCCGAAGTCCGAGGGGAAGGCTCCGAAGCGGCAATTGTGACTGGCTTGTAAGCGGAATTCCTTGAAGTGATTTTAAGCATAGAATATAATTAAAACGTAATTTTAGGCATGTTGATATACTAAATAGGCACAGTATATGGACCCTTAGGGAGACATGAAGTCTGGCACCTCCACCGTCATCTGCACCTGCGTGGCTAAGGCGGCGCAGCCGTCGCAACCACTAGGCACCACCTCGGGGAGTTGGATTGTTTTGGGCTTACAGGAGACTGAGGGAGTAAGGTGGCTCGATGGGACTAACTCGTGAACGAGTCACTCTCTATCCTTCCATCGTAGTTTCTCCTGACCCCGCCGCGAGCCGCAACGCCCACCATAAATCAGCTTGCGGCAGTTGGCGGAACCTTTGCCCGTTTTGGTTGATAGCACCATCACTCTGCCACTAACCCATCATTCGCCGGCTATTCCGACTACTATTCTCCCCCTAAATCTCTCCGAAAAAACATCACAACTTCCCAGTAAAGTCGACAGTATAGAATAACCGATTACCGCGCCCATTCTCCCAAACCAAAGTCTTCTGGGAGGGTGGGGGCTCCCAGAAAATAGTGATGGTTCCCCGAAGCCTTAAACCCTGAAGTCCTACGTAGAAGTACCCGAATGAAGCTCCTGGTACTTGTCACGGTCCCTTCTTCGCAAGCCTCGCCTGCTCGCCTGGCGGACGCAGAGGCAGTGCTGCGGCGACGGTGGCAGAGGCCTCAGCTACATCGAGGTGCCCCTGCCTCAGACATGTTGGAATCTGCTTGTATACATATATTCTTTCAAACAGGCTAGAAACACAGTACATGTACACAGTGTGTATATGTATGTATATATATATATGCTACAACAGTATAGATGCCCACTTTTTCAGGTCCGAACATGAGGGTCCTACTTGATTCGATTGCGAGGTTTTGGGGATGCCTACATGCTAATTGGACAGGGACATAACCTCAGGCTCCTGCAGGCTTAAGAGGTCCAGACGTGTGTATATATGGTTCAGCGTCGAGCGTCCTGGGCCCCCCCCCCCCCCCCATGGTATCCCCCCCCCCCCCCCAAGCCTACTCTACGGTCCCTAAACCCTAGACCCTAAACCCTAAACCCTAAACCCCTAAACCCTAAACCCTAAACCCTAAAACCTAAACCCTAAACCCTAACCCTAAACCCTAAACCTTAAGTCTTAAACCTTAAACCCTAAACCCTAAAACCTTGAACCCTAAACCCTAACCCTAAAACCAACCCCCAACCACACCACAGGGGGGGGGGGGGGATCATCTTAGTACCCCATCCGCGGGGAAAACCCTAAACCCTAAACCCTAAACCCTAAACCCTAAAACCCTAAACCGTAAACCCTAAACCCTAAACCCTAAAACCCTAAAACCCTAAAACCCTAAAACCCTAAACCCTAAACCCTAAACCCTAAAACCCTAAAACCAACCCCCAACCACACCACAGGGGGGGGGGGGGGGGGTACCATTGGGGGGGGGGGGGGGTAGGGGGGAGGGGGGGGGGGGCCCGCCGGGGCTGAATCATATATACTGTATGCATGCTTTCAAACAGTAACCTACCACAGAATAAGCAAAGTGCATTTATATAAATATATATATATATATACACATACATGTATGTATGTGTATATACATATATATATATATAGTGCATGCACATATATCGTCAGTTCGCAAAACTATGGTCCCTTTGTGGGTGCCCCAAAGGATCCCAAAGGTTATAGGGGCCGCCTTAGATCGTAACCCCCAGAAGGGGCCTTATAACTCAGGGAAGTGACCCCTAAACCCTAAACCCTAAACCCTAAACCCTAAACCCTAAACCCTAAACCCTAAACCCTAAACCCTAAACCCTAAACCCTAAACCCTAAACTCTAAACCCTAAACCCTAAACTCTAAACCCTAAACCCTAAACCCTAAACCCTTGTAAATACTTCTTTCGGCTCAAGGCCACTTGGTGCCCCACCGCCTGCCGCATCGTCCAAGGGATGGCATCGAGTGCAGCGCAGAGGTTTTCCAAGGGCTGCTCCTGAGCTGATCTCTTCTCAAAAGGGGTTCGGGGCTTCAGGGTTTAGGGTTTAGGGTTTTGGGGTTTAGGGCTTAGGGCTTAGGGTTTAGGGTTTAGGGCTTAGGGTTTAGGGAAAGTGGGCTTCAGGATAGAGAATTTAGGGTTTAGGGGTAGTGTGTTTAAGGGGTCTGGATGTTAGGGCAAAGCTGAGAAGATGCCACAGGGTAGAGCGTCTAGGATTTAGGGTTTTGGACTAGGGTTTCAGGTTTAGGGTTTAGGGTTTGGGGTTTAGGGTTTCAGGTTTAGGGTTTAGGGTGAGCCCTCTCATATGGAGGGGATTGATCTTAATGTTGGGCTCTGCATAAAGATGTGAAGGCAGCGTCGGCGCGGCGTGTTGCGAGTGCGGGCACGCTAGAAGCTGGCCCCACAAAGTGCAGCCAACTATGCGATAGGATTTCTAGCCCTTGCTAGGGAATTCGGTCATGAGGTACCCTACACTATGATCCCTTGAGGGGCTGCAAGCTTGAACCCTAGAAAACCTAAACCCTAAATCCTAAACCCTAAACCCTAAACCCCAAACCCCAAACCCTAAACCCTATCTTCCCTCGGATTGTGCAGCCCGAACACCCAGCGCCCCGGGTGGCGACAGCTTCGGAGGACCAACTCCTGGGCAAGGGCGAGCTCTTCCAGGGTTTAGGGTTCAAGGGTTGAGGGTTTGGGGTTTGGGGAAAACATTCCTCAATTCTGACCCTCTTAAACCCAATAAGGGACAATGCATATCGAGAAAAGAGACAATAGCTCTGCAACACGAACCATAACAAACAGCAATCCTACAACCCTAAGGACCCCCCCAAACCCTAAACTCTAAACCCTAAACCCTAAGAACCCCCCAGTCCTAATCCATCATGGTTCGCGCGACGGCTCTTAAGGAGAACCTTTTTAAGTATTCCTCGGGTTTGTACGTAAACAAGAATAAGCAGCAATTCCTAAGGGGGTTTATAGGGCAGAGATAGTCGGGTAGCTGCTGCATCCTTGGGTAGCAGAGTCGTCGATCTCATGTCGAGCCTGTTCTGCACCTAATGTAGGAGCTAGGTACTGCGGGAAAGAAAATCTAGGCTCATGTATTACATTCTGGCTCTTGCTCCTCGCCTACCCTCGAGAGGTTTAGGGTTGAAGTAGGGTTTAGGGTACCCTAAACCCTAAACCCTAAACCCTAAACCCTAAACCCTAAACCCTAAACCCTAAACCCTAAACCCTAAACTTCTCAGGCCAAGCATAGGCCACCCGGCCGCCAGGTCGCGGCGGCGAAGCACACTCAGGCCTGAGGGTTATAGGGCTCTTGGTTGGGCTTTATAGGTTTGCTTTGTGCTGCATTTAAAGGTTTGTTTTGTGTTGCATTTATGGGGGTTTATAGGGGTGGTTTAACGGGAGTTAGAGTGTTGCATTTATAGGGTTGAGGGGGATTGGGGTCTTTGTTGGGCTTTATAGGTTTTGGAGCGTTGTGTGTTTTAGGGTTTGTGGGGGTTTATAGATCTTCTTAAACGGTTTTATCTTTATAGGTTTTATAGTGTTGTCTTTCTAGGGTTTACAGGAACTTGTAGGGTCTTTACAAGGCTTTATAGGGTCTATAGTGTTGTATTTAGAGGGTTTAGAGGGGCTTCGGTACCCGAAACCCTAAACCCTAACCCTAAACCCTAAACCCTAAACCCTAAACCCTAAACCCTAAACCCTAAACCCTAAACCCTATGTTCATCCAGGCTTTAAATGTGGTTTAGGTAGATAAGGCTACTAGGAGCTTCGGAGAAGGTGCTCAGGGCAAACCCTAAACCCTAAACCCTAAACCCTAAACCCTAAACCCTAAACCCTAAACCCTAAACCCTAAACCCTAAACCCTAAACCCTAAACCCTAAACCCTAAACCCTGAGGACTGGACCCGCCGACCAGTTGAAGCTCCTTCTTGAGGATTGCGTGGGGCTTCGGGTTCTGAGGGTTCTTGGGGATCTTAGGGATCTTGGGGTTCTTACAGTTCTTAAGGGCTCTTTGGGGTTGTTTGGGTTCTTACGGTTTAGGGCCTGAAAGCCCCAAATCCGAAACGAACCCCTAAACCCCAAACCTTGCCAGAAGCGGTTGGACCACATAACCCTCAATAACTATCAAACCCCAATGTGACCCCATAATCATATGCGACATCGCACACGTTTCATTGGACGCCCAGCTTCTGTAGCATTGGTCCGAATAGCTGACTTTCTCTTATGCTCATTCTCCCAGAATGGTCGGTCTTTCGTTTCTGCCAAAACCGTTACTCGGCGCAGCAAATCGAAGAAACGCGATTCCAAGAAACGCGCAAAGGGCACCATCAACATGTCGAAGCACTTGGTTGTTTCCACGCCCGTAGCCCAACAGGTTTCATGAGGACATCGGTTTCTTAGCTTGCTTCTCCATGGGGGCGACGAAACATTTTCGTTTGTAAATCCTGCAGGTTTTGCTTAAGAAACGTGATACGGTCTATAGTAGTGCGCAGAACCTAAGAAATGTGCGCAGAGAGAATTTTAGGTTGAAGTCCCTCTAAAACCTAAACTCAACAATTACACCCTATGAAGAATACACCCTCAACCCCACCCCAAACCCCAAATACAAACTCCAAACTTAAAAACCCCAATTAAACCCTATGCAGCCCCAAAGCCCTAAAACCCTAAGCCCTCCGCGCCCAGCTCTCCTTGAGCCCAGCGAAGCCAGTGCCGCGCCGGCACAGCGCCGCCGCCGGAGCTGGGCCGGGCAGGCGTCGCAGGTGGCGCCACTGGGAATTCGAGCTGAGAATGGGCTAGGGTTGTTTATTGGTTGCTTAGGGTTTAGGGTGCACAGGGTTTAGGGTTTAGGGTTTAGGGTTTAGGGTTTAGGGTGCAGGGGGTGTAGAGGTTGTTTAGGGGTTTGGGGGGATGTTAGGTGGGGGGGGCGTTAGTCGCCCCGAAGAGCGGCTTGTGAATGAAAAAGTTCGGTGGAAAAAGGCGCACGAGTGGTCATTCGCGCGGAGGTGCACACAAAAACCATCATTTCGTGCCGTGGTATCTCCTCCAAAAACCCTCCAACAGCTCCTAAAACCCTACACCCTAAACCCTAAACCCTAAACCCTAAACCCTAAAGCCCTCCAAAATCCCACGCCCTATACACGCTCCGAAGCCCCGCAAACCTCCAGCCCCAGTTGCCTCGCTGCTCCACGCCGTGGCGGACCGCGGAGTAGGGAAGACAGCTCGCCTTAGGGGTTAGGGTTTTTTGGGTTTTGAGGGGTTAGGGTTTAGGGTTTAGGGTTTAGGGTTTAGGGTTTTTTGGGTTTTGAGGGGTTAGGGTTTAGGGTTCAGGGAGAAGGTTTGGGGTTGAGGGTTGAGGGATTTAAGGATTTAGGGTTTTAGGGTTTTAGGGTTTTAGGGTTTAGTTTCTTAACTGGCTTCAAGTTTCTAGGATGGCCCTGGAAAAACTCTCTGAAAAAAACATTCCCAAATATGATCCTCTTAAACCCAAAAATATGCAATTTCCCAAGAACGCACCCAGGTCTGGAGGTGAGGTTCAGGGTGTCAGGTTGGAGGTTTGGATGGCTGGGACGGCTTGGACAGTTCCAGGCCTTGGTCGTCGTAATTCCCCACTAGGTCTTGCGAACTTTTCTGCACAGACCTTGACGAATGCTTCTGATAGTATAGGGGCCCACCTAATCCGATTGCTACTTTGGGTACCTTGCTTCCTAAGTATCTTAGGGATTCTAATGGGGATGTTGCTCATCATCTGGGCTACATGCGCTAATATAGGGGCCTGAATAGAAAGGGAGCATAATGGAATACTATGAGTAGTTACTCCGGCCCCTAAAGTACCCCGGAACGCCCAGGCAGACAGGCAGCTGTCCAGTGAGGTGAGATTCTCGCGGAGCTGCCAATCCATCCCCACATGGGTAGTTCTTCGAGCTGCATACCCAGACCCCTGGGGTGGATCCAAGAAGTAGATCCCCTTACGGGTGCCTAAGAGTGACCCACTAGTAGTGTAGAGTTTTCTTTGGGGGCTCCACTTGCTGGATCCAATGGACTGGGTAGGGTTTATATAGGGCTTGGGGGTGAAAAAAGGTTTTATGAGTGGAAGGGGTGTAGGGATTCCCGTCCAACAGCGAATCTCACAAATATCAGAGCCTGGCGACCGCCAGATGTGGTCAGAGCCCCCCTAAACCCTAAACCCCAGACCCTAGACCCTAAACCCTATAAACCCTAAACTCTAAACCCCATCTGTTGTAGGCGTGTTCTTTGTTTTCGGCTGGACCTGTTGTGATTCTTGGAACTCTAGAGGACAAGCCGCGAGGCATGGACAGCACACAGCCAGTAGATTCATGCCAGCTCTTTCCAAGGGCCTTCTTTTCCACTCGACCCTAAACCCTAAACCCTAAACCCTATACCCTAAACCCTAAACCCTAAACCCTAGACCCTAGACCCTAGACCCTAAACCCTAAATCCTAAACCCTAAACCCTAAACCCTAAACCCTAAACTTAACCCCGAAAGATCCCAAAAGAGCCCCCCCTTCCCCCTCCTAACCCGGATCGCAGGAAGCCCCGCAGGGGGTGGGCATCCTTTTCTTTTTTGGCTGCGCGACGAGGTGCCAGGATTTCCCGACAGGAGGGAGCACAAGGGTTACCCTACAAACCCCTCTGAAAACCCTATAAACACCCAATAAACAACCCCACTCCCAAAAAAAAATCAAACACCCCGTATAAACTCATAAAAGCAACCCTACAAACCCTAGTGGCCGCTGCGTTGCGGGTTCCTCAGGAGACTTCGGCGGGGCTTCGACGCTCAGATGGAGTTGCATTCTGTAGTTGAGAGCATTGGATTGGGGCTCAAGTAGTCAGGGTTTCGGGCTTAGGGCTTAGGAGAATCTTAGGAGGGTTTACAGGGGGTTGAGGGATTAGGTGAGCTTCATTCTTCACGATTGGATACGATCAGGCACTTCGGGGTTGAGCTGCCCTTGGATCGTCTTCCAGGGACCCCAGCGTCCAGCCACCACTCCCTCCAGTCGTCCACGGCAGCTTTCGGCGGCCTTGTTTCTGCGCAAGGGGGCTGCGGTGGCGCAGTTTTTGCGCACTGCCGGCCCCAATTCGGTCGATCGGCACGCCGCCCCTAGTTCTGCGAAGCAAACGGAGCAAGCGGTTCCTAAACTTCGCTGAGCTGCTTCCCAAGAGTTCTTGGACACCCCCGGCCAGAAGTTCTGCCCCCCAAAGCAAAAAAGTTCTCAACAGCTACAGCGAACTTTATCTACATGGCTACACCCCTGAGTCCTTGACATCAAACGCCTTAAGCCCTCAACCATCCCAGAAAAAGCACCCTAGCACGGTAGGCACGGCACATACCCAACCTATAGTAAACCCTAAACCCTAAACCCTAAACCCTTAACCCTAAACCCTAAACCCTAAACCCTAAACCCTAAACCCTAAACCCCAAACCCTAAACCCTAAACCCTAAACCCAGTCCTTTGGCTGCGGATTGGGAAGGTTTCGATTTGCAGGGTTTTGAGGGTGTCAACATCAGCTTGTGCCCCAAACCTCATAAACCCCAACAGCGGCGTGCCGATTCGATGCAGCTTAAAAAGGAAGATGCATCGATCCAGCAAGGCCATTAAAACAAGGAGTAGCTCTTGGGGGTTTTAGGTTTCATCGGGCTTAGGGTTTAGGGTTCTTGCCTTAGATTCATATCGGGCTTCGGGGCTTTGTCTCCGTCATTTGGAGGTAATTGGCTCTCTGGGAACGCATAGCACCTTCAACATCCTCCCATCAGGGAGTTCACGCTGGGCCCTAAACGGTCACATGCTGTCCCGGCCCATTGGCGGCCCTGGCAACGAGGCTCTTCGAAGAAGAGTCCAGCACCCCTCAGTTACCTCCCCTGATGACGACGACGACGACGAAGAGAGAGAGAGAGAGAGAGAGAGAGATATATATATATATGTAAAAAAATGTATATATATATATATACATTGTATACGTGTAAATAAATAAATATATATATATAGATATATAATAGGTATGCAGAGACAGAAACCCCATGACGATCATGTAAGGCATTTTCCTCGAATGAAGGGATACCAGGCTAAAATTCCTTTGCAATGTTGTCGCGGCCTGGATCCAAGCCCAGGGCCATTTTGATGCGGCTCATCTCCGCGGCGGAGTGCATGTGAAACCTGGGAGTTTGGGGGTTTAATTCGGGGTTTAGGGGTTTAGGGGGGGGGGGGTTTTGGGGTATAGGGCTTAGGGTTTAGGGTTTAGGGCTGAGGGTTTAGGAGTTCGGGTTTAGGGCTTAGGGGGTCAAGACAACCAGAGGTCCGCGAAGACGAACGGTGGTTTATTGTTGGCGCTGGCTTGTGGATCTTGTGCTATCACAGGGGACCCTACACCCTAAACCCCAAACCCTTAACCCGACACCCTGAACCCTCAAGAACGACATGAGACGCGCGTATGACGTGGTGCCCACAGAACACGCACCGAATGTACATATATATGGTTCAGCGTCGAGCGTCCTGGGCCCCCCCCCCCCCCATGGTATCCCCCCCCCCCCCAAGCCTACTCTACGGTCCCTAAACCCTAAACCCTAAACCCTAAACCCTAAACCCCTAAACCGTAAACCCTAAACCCTAAACCCTAAACCCTAAAACCTAAACCCTAACCCTAAACCCTAAACCTTAAGTCTTAAACCTTAAACCCTAAACCCTAAAACCCTGAACCCTAAACCCTAACCCTAAAACCAACCCCCAACCACACCACAGGGGGGGGGGGATCATCTTAGTACCCCATCCGCGGGGAAAACCCTAAACCCTAAACCCTAAACCCTAAACCCTAAACCGTAAACCCTAAACCCTAAACCCTAAAACCCTAAAACCCTAAAACCCTAAACCCTAAACCCTAAACCCTAAACCCTAAAACCCTAAAACCAACCCCCAACCACACCACAGGGGGGGGGGGGGGTACCATTGGGGGGGGGGGGGGGGGGGGGGGGGTAGGGGGGAGGGGGGGGGGGCCCGCCGGGGCTGAATCATATATATATATATATATATGTATACCATAGGGATTCTGCACACTTGTTGGGGTACCATTTCAACATGATCATTTTTTGTTCTTTTTGGGTTTAAGTAAATGATTTTCAACAATGACCCAGGATTTGGGCTTGGGTACTAAGGCTTATAGTGGGGAGTCGGATGATGGGACTACTTCATATAAGATATAAGGTGCTAGGGGGGGCGGGGGTGAATAGGAGGCTGAGGGGATTCCACACTGACACACCTGTGACGCTCTGCTCCATCTGAAGCTCTGGCCGCAGCAAGAAAGCAAACTCCTATGACGCACCCATGCAACGCAGCCCTCTAACCCCTAAACCCTAAACCCTAAACCCTAGGCTCTAAACCCTCCTTTCCGACGGGCGGCCGCTTGACTTCGTGGTACAACATTAACAGGTCGGAGGCTTTCGGCATGCCATTGAGCCTGAAACAGGAAGGATTTGCCAGGATCCCACAGCTGGGGATAGGGGATTCTCTCTAAATTCTGGGCTCTCTTTGGGTACAAAGTATGATGGCTCCGTAGTAGAAGAGGATCTCCAGTATACGGACCATCATGTTTCAGAGAATCCTCCAGATGACCCGAAACCCTAAACCCCTAAACCCCCAAACTCCTAAACTCCCGAACCCCTAAACCCCCTGAACCCTAAACCCCTAAACCCCCAAACCCTAAACCCCCAAACCCTAAACTCAGAAACCCCGAAAACCAAAACCCTCTATCCCCAAAACCCTAAATCCAGTCACCACCGCACTCCCAATCCTCACCGCGATCTCCAAAAAGTCCTCGAAGCCGATGTGGCCGTCATCTTTCATGTCCAAGACCTCCGCCAAAAAATGAACAAAACAAAAACAGGTTTAGGGTTTAGGGTTTAGGGGTTTAGAGGTTTAGGGGTTTAGGGGTTTAGGGGTTTAGGGGTTTAGGTGTTCAGGGGTTCAGGGGTTCAGGGGTTTAGGGGTTTAGGGGTTTAGGGGGTTAGGGGTTTAGGGGTTAGGGTCCAAAAGCTAGAAACCCCAAATAGTACCCTTTTCTACTCTTGGGCTCACTTTCGGGAACCCTTAAGGGGATCTCTCTTTTTGTATATTTTGGATCCTCCCTCAGGGTCTGAGAGAAGATGTGCCAGAAAAGAGAGAGAGCGATGCCTAAGGAGTCGCAAGTCGGGTGGAAACATAGTTTCCTCCCTCTACTACTCAGCTTCTCGGAAACAATCTAGACCTAACCTTCGATCGTTTGGAAGGTCGGCAGCCTGAACCTTGAATCCTAAACCCGAAAACCCGAAACCCGAAACCCGAAACCCCAAACCCCTAAGCCCTAAGCCCTAAGCCCTAAGCCCTGAGCCCTAAGCCCTAAGCCCTAAGCCCTAAGCCCTAAGCCCTAAACCCTAAACCTCTCAGATTCTTGGAGCCTGGGTTGCCCCAGCTAACAGCTTGAACGCTCGTCTGGCTGCATTCATAGGGTTTAGGGTTCGGGGTGTGGGGGTTTGGGGGTTTGGGGGCTTGGGGGCTTGGGGGTTTACGGCTTAGGGTTCTGACGGTACTGCGACGCCATACACAGTGCAAGCGATGAGGACTACTCGGCGTACTGCCTCGTGCATACCGGGCTTTGCGCACTTGCCTCAAGTCTCCTTTGCAAACCTACGAATGGGCCAATCCTACACCCCAAAGCCTAAACCCCAAACCCAAAACAGATTAAACCCTAAACCCTAAACCCTAAACCCCAAACCCAAAACAGATTCTTCCCTAATTTGAGTACACCTGGACTGACGGTGGGACCCACCTCGATGAGGTGCTGTGCTTCCTCTGGGTGCACCTGGACTGACTGCCCTCTGAGAGCTAAAAGGGTTTAGGGTTTAGGGTTTAGGGTTTAGGGTTTAGGGTTTAGGGTTTAGGGTTTAGGGTTCAATTGTGGTTGTATAGTCGACTCAGTGTAATAAACAAAGTAAAGATTATACCCCTGTCAGCCCTAAACCCCAAATTTTGAGGAATGTAATATTCCCATGGGTCCTTTTCTAGCGGGGGGCGGGGGGGAATTCCATGTGAGGGAGAAACTTGCGGATTGCTATTGGTGCACTTTAGGGTTTAGGGTTTAGGGTTTAGGGTTTAGGGCTTAGGGCTTAGGGCTTAGGGTCAAACAAGCTCTCATACTTGGAGTATGGCAACTACTATCGCAAGCGTAATGTGGGCTCCCTAGCAAACCCTAAACCCTAAACCCTGAACCCTGAACCCTGAACCCTGAACCCTGAACCCTAAACCCTAAACCCTAAACCCTACACCCTGAACCCTGACCCCTAACCCTAAACCCTAAACCCTACAGGCCCTTAAAACCCCAAACCCTTGCGCCAAGCCGCGTCGACCGACTCAAAAAACTCGAGGACGGCCTTCGTTGAGGTGTGCTCACGGATCTCCTGCCGTTTAGGGTTTGGGCTTTAGGGTTTAGGGTTTCGGGTTTAGGGTTTAGGGTCTAGCTCCACTATGCTTTTAAAAAGGATATGTTCCTTGAGAGTTGCAGGCTTCGGGAACAGTCCTTGGATAATTTGGGGATCCCTGGCATCTAAACCAAGATAGCGGAGTCTTACTGACTTTGGTGAGAATAGAGAGTTCGGTACACAAAACAGACCACATTTGAGGGCTCATGCAAGCCTTCAGTCTGTGGCACTTCTTGCGGTCACCTTTCTTCCACCGATGTTTTTGGGATTTAGGGTCTACAACAAAAGGTGGGCCCAAAAGTGGAAACGAGCTACTCCCCAGCACTGCCATAGAGGTAGCTGAGGGGAAAAACGGGCGCTAGGAGCTTTATAAACCGGGCCGACATACCCTGAGCCTACTTGAAGGTTCATGGGTACGCATAGGTAGGGTTAAAGGCACCCTTTAAATCGGGTTCTAACCCTAAGCCCCCATGAACCTGCAAGTGGCCCCACTACACAAGAGTGCGAGCCCTAATCAAAGTCGCAATCGCAAGAGAAGGGGTAGTCTTTTTTCTGAGAATGTTTTCGGCCAAGCACTGGCCTCTTCGTCGTCATGGTAGTCATACGACGTTCTCATCCCCCCCAAAAAAACACCTAGACCCTAAACCCTAAACCCTAAACCCTAAACCCCAAAACCCCAAAACCCCAAAACCCCTAAACCCCTAAACCCCTAAACCCCTACACTCCAAACACTTGCGACTGCAGGTGGGTGGTGCCGGAGCCTCTACCGAGATGGATCCGGAGCCATCGGCATCGAGCTCCTCTCTGAGGTCGCACGGAATGCTCTAGGACTCTAGGAGTTTTGCCCAGGGAGCCCCCCAAAAGACACCATGAAGGATGTACCCTAAACCCGAAATTCTAGTAAGGGGTCCTCATAAATATGACTCAAGGTCCACTTCGATATCTTCCTGAACTCAAGTGTCTCGGGCTCTTTGGGTGACGCTTTTGGGCGTTAGGGCCTCCGTTTCCCAAACCTAATCTACAGCAATCTAAGCGCGGAACCATCGGACCTTAGTATGGCCCCTTACCCTTGTTTATGAGGATCCGAAGTATGGGCCCTTGGTACGTATAGTGTATATACAGGTCATATAGCAAGGGACCCAAACTAAGGGCGCCCATACTTGGAACCTAGATAGACCCCCTAAACCATCCAGAAGCTTGATTCATCTGAAAAATACCCTGGGACGCTTTGTTGAGCCAGGCCCAAACTCCTTATGAGGGTCTTAAAGTTTAGGGTTTAGGGTTTAGGGTTTAGGGTTTAGGGTTTAGGGTTTAGGGTTTAGGGTTTAGGGCTTAGGAGGGTAGAAGCCCGCTTGGGGGGGGGGGGGGTTAAGGACACACCAGGACCCTTGGAGTGCTGTGACCGACTTTCTCACCACCTGCGCCACTCCTGAAAGACGCGCCGCGCCTTGATGATCCTTTGAGGCAGTGTCTAAACCCTAAACCCTAGACCCTAAACCCTAAACCCTAAACCCTAAACCCTATCCCCTAAACCCAAAACCCAAAATCAGGCAGTCTTTTTTGGGTTTAAGGCCGAGAGCTCCGGCTAAGGAAGGAAAATGGGGCGTAGGGTTGGGTCTGTATAGACGGTTCTTGCCCGGAAAGAAAGGATCACAGCAGCAGACCCCGAAACCCAGGTGCTGCGGGAGCAGCCTCGCAGAGACTTACAGTAGCATACTAAGGAATAAGAATCCACACGGAGTGTTGTTGGCTACCCCAAACCCTAAACCCCAAACCCTAACCCCTAAACGCTAAACGATAAACCCTAAACCCCAAACCCCGAACCCCGAAACCCTAAACCCTAAACCCTAAAACATAAACCCTACCACGGGATTGTTGCAGCAGCAAGGCCGGCTTCGGATCTTCAGGTCTGCGGCCTTGACAATGAGGGGAGCGCATAGCGATGTCTAGGGTTAGGGTTTAGGGTTTAGGGCTTAGGGTTTAGGGATGGTTTAGGGTTTAGGGGTTTAGGGTTTAGGGGTTAGGGTTTAGGGTTTAGGGGTTAGGGGTTAGGGGATAGGGGTTAGGGGTTAGGGGTTAGGGGTTAGGGGTTAGGGGTTAGCGTCTGGGGTTTCGGGTTTGGGGTTTGGGGTTTGGGGTTTAGCGTTTCGCTTTGTGTTTGACAGGGATCCACTTTTATCCTTACAAAAAGAAAACATTGTGTATGTAGATAAATGCATATGTGTTATATACATACATACATACATACATACATACATACATACATACATACATACATACATACATACATACATACATACATACATACATACATACATACATACATACATACATACATACATACATACATACATACATACATACATACATACACACACACATACATACATACATACATACATACATACATACATACATACATACATACATACATACATACATACATACATACATACATACATACATACATACATACATACATGCATGTGTGTGTGTTCAGTATGTTTATGTGCATGTACGCATGTTGCTATGGGACGCGCCATACATACAGCTTCTCACTTCATATGAAGACGGATGAGTCAATGGTCCCACCATGCGTATCACAATAAGGCCCAAGATCAAAGCCGTTCCACCCCTTGAAAAACCCACCCTCATGAAAGTAGGAAATTGCAGGATCCATGAAGGACAGAACAAGAAAACACAAGCGCTGCGAGCTTGAGGCTCCGAGTCCCTATCTTGGCACACTGGAAGGACCACCAACTCTGAATTTTGGGGGAAGCTTCCCGATGAAACTGACAATGCGGACGTGCCTGCTGGCTGACGGATTCCACGAAAGTGCCAGTTATCAGATTCATGACTGCCAAGTAGCCTCGACGCGCAGGGATTCGGTTTGCTGGGCGAGTTTGGCCAAGGGAGACTATGCGCCTCTTGAGCCTCTTGAAGCCCCCATGGGGCCCCTCCCATCACACCCTTCAGGGACTTAGGGCTTTAGGGCTTTGGAAGCCATAGGTGTTTTGCTAGGATTCACAAGGGTGTTGGGGTTTAAGGTTCGGGGGAGGGGGACTCCTCTGAAGCATATTCCTGGGCTTCATTGCGGCCGTGCTTCAGGTGGGTCTTGGACTTCTGTAGGGAACTTCTGAAGGAGGACATGAAACGAGGGTACAAGTATTGAACACAAAAAAAGCGCGTTCGCCAATGTGCCGAACTGTGACAATTCCCTTCAGCTTGCTGATCCTCCCCCCCTCAACTCCAACTCCGCCGCGAGCCCTAAACCCTAAACCCTGAACCCAAAACCCGAAACCCGAAACCCGAAACCCTAAACCCTAAACCCTAAACCCTAAACCCTAAACCCTAAACCCTAAACCCTAAACCCTAAACCCTAAACCCTAAACCCTAAACCCTACCAAACCCCAAACCCTCAAAACGCCAACTCCGAGGAGCTGTAGGCGAGCCAGAGCACCAAGAAGACTGCATAGGCAGGGGAGACGTGGTCTGCGAGGGGCCTCGCAGCAGAGGGCCCTCTGGACCCTAAACTCGAAACCCTAGGATTTGGGGGGAGTTTAGGGTTTAGGGTTAGGGGGTTTAGGGTTTAGGGTTTAGGGTTTAGGGTTTGGGGTTTGGGGTTTGGGGTTTAGGGTTCAGTTGGGGTTGAGGGTTTAGGCCCGAAACCCTAAGCCGAATCAACATCCAACCCCCTCAACGCTGGTCTTGGAACCTGACGGTTGTTCGCGTAAACCCCATAAGCCGTACAAACCCCACTCAGCCCCCTGCACCCTAAACCCCTAAACCCTTGTAAGCCCTAACCTAAAGTCATTGAAATCACTTGTGATGCTCACCCTCCAGAGTCGATTCTTGTCCCTCCCTAAGGAAAAAATTATGTTTCTTAGCAGGACCCCCACCGGGGCGAAATGACCTCCGAGAGAGCCCCAAGCCCTGAAACCCCAAAACCCTAAGCCTTAACCTGCAAGAGCTCTACTCACTCTGCCGCAACATCTTTTTGGGGGCAACCCTAAACCCTGTAAACCCTATACCCATCCCTGCCATCTTTTTGGGGGCGAAAGGCTTCTGAAGCCCTAAACCCTAAACCCTAGACCCTAAACCCTAAACCCTAAACCCTTAATCCTAAACCCTAAGCCTCCAAAAAAAAGGCATCTTCGTCTTTTGGGAGGCTTCTGAAGCCAGGTGGCTTCATGACATCGTTCCAGTCGATGCCGCCCGTGAGGGATTGGAAGAGCGAGAGCATACCTCGGCTGTTTTTGGCTTAGGGTTGGGGGTGTAGGGTTTCCTAACCTTTAAACCCTAAACCCTGAACCCTAAACCCTAAACCCTAAACCTTAGTGCAGCCGTAAGGCTCAAGGGAATGTTGCCCCACCAGACCCTGAGCTCCAGCGTGGAGGTACCTCGGAAGGATTTCAGCTCGCTTCCTGCTTGAAGCCATCTGTCAAGATTACGAAGGTTTAGGGTTGAGGGTTGAGGGTTGAGGGTTGAGGGTTTAGGGTTTAGGGTAGCCTGGGAAGATCTGGGAAGCTTATGCTACGTTCATGGGGGCCAATAGGACTACGGGAAGGGTAAAAACCTCTGATTCGTCGGCTGCCCTGGGAAGGAAACAAGGGACTCGTCGTCGTCGTAAAGACTTAAGTGCCTATAAGAGCGTCCTTTTTACAAGAGAATCCTACCATTTGGGGGGTCTAAATTGCAGGGGGACCCCGTATTTTCGCAAACTCCCACATGAAAGCCCCCGGAGCAGGCGTCTGCTGCGGCACTTCTGTGAGGGGCCGGGAAACTTCCAGGATTGTCCAGGGCGTGCTGGTAGACCATGCCCGTGAGCTCGATGGCCATGATCTGAGGTTTAGGGTTTAGGGTTTAGGGTTTAGGGTTTAGGGTTTAGGGTTTAGGGTTTAGGGTTTAGGGTTTAGGGTTTAGGGTTTAGGGTTTAGGGTTTAGGGTTTATGGGTTTAGGGTTTAGGGTTTAGGGTTTAGGGTTTAGGGTTTGGGGTTTAGGGTTTGGGGTTTAGGGTTGAGGGTTTGGGGTTTGGGGTTTAGGGTTTGGGGTTTAGGGCTCAGGGCAAAGACTTCTGATGCACGGAAGAGATGGTGGCGCTTCTACATGCTCACTCACAATGCCAGAGCTTAGTCTTCCGGCGGAGCCGGCAAAGGAGTGATCTTCAGTACTCAGACATATGCAGCCCGCTCCTACAAAAGAATCCATGGAGGCTCCATAAAGCCTCCAGCCCCACCGCACACCAGGTGGGAACATTCCACACCGCAACTTTTGGCATCCTATGTGCCTGTTGTCGAAATCAGTCAGCCCATATGGCTAAGCCAAGAATTGGAGATGGTCGCACGGAGTGTAGATGGGGTGAGGGGGAGTTTGACACTTCCTACTCGGCCATCTTTCGCTGCTAGAGGAGACATATATGAGACGCAATCTTTCTTCAATAGAATATATCATCACATTTTTGGAAATTGAAAATGCATGTAACTAATTGATCAGACGGCAAAACCCCTTCAAACGTCGCACTTCCGGACCCCTGATGGCTGTCACAATTGTTGGGCAGCGGAATCCGAACGATCCTCGTTTGGATCGCAAAACTTTGTCAAAACAGAGCCGAGTGTCGTAGATCATGATGAAGAGAAATGCACAGCTCCAGAAGAACGTACGAAGGGACCTGGGGCTCAAGCAGCTTCGAGATGGAACCAGGGCAGTTCTGAGCAAAATGTTGCTGATGGTCTGGGCAGTCGCAACTTGAATCGCGCTCTCTACACCCTGGAGGGCAATGCATGCAAACGAAACCATCCTAAAGCTGAACTACGTCCAGGATTTCACACCCTCAACCCTTATCGGACCCCTAACCTCTCATCCTTAAGCCCTGAACCTCAAACCCTCAAGCCGAATCCGGTCCCTACAAGGTTCGTCTCTAAGCCCGGCGGCAAAACAAGGCAGCTCACGATCAGCTGCAGGTTCTCGGAGAAGCGGACTGTGCGGATCAGGCGGACAACCTGCCCACAATTTGGGGATATTTGGGGGGCTTCCGATATTGGGGGGGGGGGGGGGGGGGGGGGATCCTTGTTGGGGAGTCGTGCACAAGAGCGGTTGTAGCTACAAGACCTCACACGGACACTTCCCAAAATAGGGGTACCCCTTTCATACCCCAAGTAGAAGAGAATACCCTTAAAGGGAACCACCCAAAAGGGCCCCCCCTATTTTCGGAACCCCCCCATATGATCCACATGATGGCCTTCCTATGTTCGTCATGGTTTCCCAGTCTAGGAAGCCCTAAACCCTTCTCCCTAAGCGGTCTTTAGGTTAGCTTCCACCGAAGATTTGTCCTGCCACTTAGGAGCCTTACGTCGACTGTCACGAGCATGACGCAGTCCAGAACCCGCCGAGACGTAAGCACAGCAGGTTGCACAATACAAGTGGTTTTCATGCAGTCTAGACATGACGCATACATTTTGATATGTTAGCACTAAAACCCCCTTTTCTAAGGTATCTGGAGAATCTTCGGGGCGTCCTACATATCACCGGACTCCGCCAGTGGGCACAAGATATCACCAAGCTGCCAGACTCCTCAAGACTACCACCGGAATTAGATTTGGCTCCGAAGGTCACCCTCAGACCGAAAAACTCCAATAACCTGTCATTGGGCATTAAGGCTTAAGGAATATGAGTCGGGTTTAGGGTTTAAGTTTAGGGTTTAGGGTTCAGGGTCGAGGGTACCACAAGATTTTGGGACATCTTCCTTAATTGAGCGAGATTGGGGACTTCAGAGACATGGGGCAACCCGCTGACTGCCTTGATACCTCGCATCACGGTTATCACTCTCCTGGGGGCGGCTTCTCTGCCCAACTTCATCCGTTCAGGGGTAGAAGGAGGGACCCTAGAAGGGACCCTTAATCTTATTCCCCTATAGATCCCTTATATATATATATATATATATATAGATAGACCTTATATAGTCCCTAAATGCCCCTAAACAACCACTAAGGTCCCTTACAAGGGTCCCTCCTTTAGTCCCTTGAATCCGGGATGATACGAACAGATGAAGGTATAAACGCTAAAGCTGGTTTTGTAGGGTATGCAAGGGGTAGACATGTAGGGGCCATGTTAAGGGACCATGTAGCTACTCTTAGCATAAGACTGACACGACAGAATGGACGATGAGGATACTAATGATAGTCGCAACCAGAATAGCTACTGATGGCTCTGAGCACAATGTTATTTCCACGTGAGTAACACCTACATTAAGCAGAATACTCCTCTTCTGACGAACAATAATTACAAAAACGAAGCTCTTCATAAGAATGCTAATAATAATGTTAATAGTCGTAATACACTGCTTGACAGAGGGGCGGGTCTGAGGCTGAAACTCTGCAGGAAATCCTCTGCCTTCTGATCCGTAGCTCAGGTGCGTTTACTGCCCATGACACACAGAAAAGGCCAAGAGTCATCAACGGCGCGTTTGCAACCTGGGGCGACATTTGGATCCAGGTTCCAATCGGTCAAGGGAACTTGCACTGGAATTGCCAGGCATGGGCAAGCTGAAAGCTGCCTGTGACCCTAGGCTCTCGGGATTGCGGGACCCTTTTTTTAAAGGTATAAGGGCCATACTAGGATTATATTAAGGGGAACCTAGGGGTACAAGGGGTACAACATTAGGAGTACGAGTAGGCAGCCCTGCAAGAGAGCTGCGCAAACGGTCATCAAGCCCTTGCGCAAGCCTAGAAACATCAGAGAACACGTTGGCAATTCCTTCGTCATGTACAGCACTATACGATATACTTATATACTTACATATTGATGTGATGTGTATGCTATACAGACAATCGTATACAGGTAGGATGCCAGGCTCTTCACGAATGTCAACCCTCCAGAGCCTTGAGTCCTGCTGCCATCAAGGATTGAAATCATGTGGCAGTAAGAATTTTCGAAACAAGAAAAGCTTGCCCTGAAACAAAACAAACAAAAAACAGACACATACTCCGAAAAATGAGGCCCTCTTAAATCCAGTAAGGCAAAGCACGCTTGTCTTACGGCCTGCCTAGAGCAACACCATCCCCTGACCCCCCCGCCCCACCCAAAAGAAAAAACATTAGAATAGATAAATATTCGCACAAGACAAAACACTAAACCCCGAAACCCGGTGCAGTTTGCCCCCCCCCCCCCCCCCCCCCACACCGAAACCCTACACCCTAAACCCAGTTCTCTGGCCTCTCTCCAGACTCCTTGGCATATCTTGGCGCCTCACGTCGTCCCCGACGCTGGTCACTGTCGCAATGAGAATCAAGGTTTCCTCAATGAGCTGAACGCCCTGGCGTGAAGTCATGTAATTCACGGGCCTTAATAAATAGAATCGGGTTTCCGGTGGTTATGCAAGTAACAGAAGAATTACATAGGGATCCGAAGGGTGCAATATAAGGGGCCTTAATAATTAGAACCGTGTTTTTTGCTTTTTTGGGGGGGTCATCATAGTATAATTACATAGGGACCATAACGCAAGAGTATTCGTAGCTTATTCCGGGCCCTATATTCGGGCTTCTTAAGCTCGGACAGCGTCTCTCGGTTTGATTAGGATGGTACTTGAGGCAACCTTCTACTGCACGCGGGGTCATATAGGGATTGCAAGGGGATCCTAAACCCTAAACCCTAAACCCTAAACCCTAAACCCTAAACCCTAAACCCTAAACCCTAAACCCTAAACCCTAAACCCTAAACCCTCAGCCCATCATCTTGGTGCCTTGGATTCCTGTGTTGGCGAAGTGTGGGCTAGTGCCGGGTCCCTGCTGGGAATTGAGGGCATGATATTATGTGTGTATTCATTTTTTGTTCATATTTGTTTAAATTCTTTTAGATTCATTTACTCTGTTATGCTCTGTGTATGATATGGAGCAAGTAATGGTCCCCAAGCCCCAAACCCTCCCGACCCTTTGGGTACGATGGGTAGTCCGACCCCGGAGGGATCCGGAGGGTGTAGGGCTCAGAGCTTTACGGCCCGGTTCTGGGCTTAGATTCCCCCACAGACGTCAACTTCCAAACGGAAAAGAGCCCTTCCAGCAATCCTCAACCTAACCCCCTCCATCTGATTCCCCCGGACGCGAATGCCTCTCTGCCCTCCAGCACTGCCTCTCTCGATGAGCTTCCCCCAGCGTGCGGATGCCGCAAACTTCTGCCATTGCCGCCGAGGGGCCACGATACACAAGTCGATGATGTTCCAGGCACAACCTCACATGCATCTCTATCGTAAACAGGAAAAGCAGTGTTTGGCCAATTTCCCTGCTGTTTTGGCTTCCTGAAACGTTTAGGAGGCTGGCATGGTGCTTAGGATGGCTTGGGGAGGGCACCAAAACAAAAGACCCAGAGACTCCAAAACCCCTTAATTAAGGAATATACCTTAAATCATATTAGGGTTCCTATTCTAATTTAGGGTATATTCCTTAATTAAGGGGTTTTGGAGTCTCTGGGGACCCAAGCCAACGGACGAGCAGCCGTACATGGTGAAGAAGCGGCAGCGATGAACGAAAAGACGCAGGCCTGAGAATAACTTAAGCCCCCCCACCCCCTCCCCCGTAAGAGCGCGCTGCAGGCCCCCCGGAGTAGGTTTTGGGGCATGATGCGGGCCTACTTCCACAGTGAAGAAGACGCAAAAGATGATGTCGGTGATGCGAAAGCCGATGGGGACCTTGGCGGACAAGCCAAAGAGACCCTCCAAGAGATCTTCAGCTCACGAGTGCAACACAACCTTCTTTTTCTCTGTCTTATGAAGCGTTCGCTTCGCTGAGTGCGAAGAAAGGCTCAAACACAGCTCAGGAAGCTTAGAGGTGCTTGGGGGGCTTAGGGCTCTACTCCCTAAAGCCCTAAACCCAAAACCCTAAACCCTATTGCGAGCTCCTAAAGCCCCCTAAACCCCAAACCCTCAACAAAACTGGGAGCTTTTGAATGGCAGACAATGGGAAGCTTTACACTGCCCGACTGCTGCAGCGTGGGGCCTCACGGGATTGTGCGGTGGCAATGGAGTCGATCTGGATACCGATCTGCAGCGAGTTGAGCAGTATCCTGGCAAAGCAGAAATCTTACATCCCCTTCTGAAGAAGGCTCAGGGGCATTTTATAAGTAGGGGGTTCTTCGTGCCCTAAGGTTCTAAGCCTACTTACCCTTCACCCTACGTATATAAGTGCCCATGAACCTCCAAGTTCGATTGCATGGCATCCTGGAAACACATCCCCCCCCCCCCCCCCCGCCCCCGGGCTACACCAGACTTCTTGAGGATTGGGGGTTGAACAAGTTTTTAATAGGGTCCATATGGGGGCTTATATGGCGTGGTTTAGAGGGCTTAGGGGCCTCTTTTCCTCAAGGCACTCCATTTGGGAATGCTTTGTGAGCCTAGACTGGCCGGCGCATCTGATCCTAGTCGCGGGACGTGAAGCGTTTCGTTTTTTGGGTGTAAGAGGCAACTTGCTCATCCGTTCCCAGAGACAACAGCTTCAATGCTGTGTCCCAGGACTTAAGGACCCCCCTGGAACCTAAACCCTAAACCCTAAACCCTAAACCCTAAACCCTAAACCCTAAACCCTAAACCCCAAACAAAGCCCAGAACCGACTCGGGCCTCCTAGCACAAGCACTGCTCAGAGCACTCTTCAACCCTGAGACTCCAAAACCCCTTAATTAAGGAATATACCTTAAATCATACTAGGGTTCCTATTCTAATTTAGGGTATATTCCTTAATTAAGGAATATACCTTAAATCATATTCGGGTTCCTATTCTAATTTAGGGTATATTCCTTAGTTAAGGGGCTTTTGGAGTCTCTGGGAACCCTGAGATCCCGTCATGGCCATCGTGCAGCACTCGAAGTAAGGGCTGCAGATGATCCGCCGAATCCGCCTCGCAAGCCAAGCCAGAGAGGCTTTTGCAGGGGTGGTTTGGGGTTTAGGGTTTAAGGGGTTTAGGGTTTTGGGGTTTTGGGGTTTTGGGGTTTTAGGGTTTTAGGGTTTAGGGTTTAGGGTTGAGGGTTTAGGGTTTAGGGTTTAGGGTTTAGGGTTTTAGGGTTTTAGGGTTTTAGGGTTTAGGGTTTAGGGTTTAGGGCCAGGGATCGAGAGATTGAGAAGTTGAAGATGAGTGCAGGGGGGTCTCCAGGGCGGCCAATCACCACTGCGAAAGTGGTTAAAACAGCCAACGCGCCGCGGCCTGCGACCAAACGACCACGGCTTAGGGCTATTGCTCGAAGCATTCGAAAGCTCGAATCATGAGAAGCTGAAGCCTGCGATGCCGGTTCTTTCCTCACTTGGCAGGTGGTGACTCCAGTCAACTTCGCCCAAAAAGCTCTCCCGGCCATGACTGTTGTGAGACTGCTGAGAGACTGTGCGATCGCGGCGGTCGCGGACTCGGGAACTCTGGACAAGAGATGGGGGTTTCCGAAATTAGGGGTACCTTTTTCGGGGTCCCTACGGTAAGGGAATCTTACTTTTTTGGGGGTCCCTATTGGGGGTCCCCTATTTCCGTCAACCCCCAAATCATAGGGAGGTGGATCGCCGAGACCTCAGGAACATCAGTTCATTCAGAATCCCCGGGATCCTTTAGAACGCGGGAGCCTTACATCAGGGACCCTCAACACCCTGGACCCCCCCAAACCCTAAACCCTAAAACCCTAAAACCCATAAACCCATAAACCCTAAACCCTAACCTAAACCCTAAGCCCCAAGCCCTAAGCCCTAAGCCCTAAGCCCTAAAATGCAGGGAAAGGGAGGGAGATTGGCCTTCGCCAGCTGATGCCCCTTGGAGTCTCGGTATCGCCTTCCTCCCAAACAGCGCTCGAGAGGGTCTGTTTAGGGTTTAGGGTTTAGGGTTTAGGGTTTAGGGTTTAGGGTTTAGGGTTTAGGGTTTAGGGTTTAGGGTTTAGGGTTTAGGGTTTAGGGTTTAGGGTTTAGGGTTTACGGTTTAGGGTTTAGGGCTCTTTGAAGACTTAGGCTTTGTGGTTTGGGGATTGGGCTCACGGTACAGGGTTTCGGGTTTACCCCCCTCTAAACGACCCCCCCCCCCCGGGTTCCCCCCTTAAATGACCTTAATGAGGCTTAGGGGACCCAAGGGGGGTAGTAGGGGAACCTATGAGCTTTGTGCTACAAAGCCCAAGGCTTCCCAAAGTTTCGTTGTGCGATTCGGGTAAACCCTAAACCCTAAACCCTAAACCCTAAACCCTAAACCCTAAACCCTAAACCCTAAACCGGCTTATCAGGTTGGGGGATCTCGGGACGTGGAAGGGGTTTCACCTGAGGAATTGGGGCTCAGGGGTACTCTGAACCCTGAACCCCTAAACTCCTGATCCCCTAAAGGCCTCAACCGCTCAACCCCTAAGACCCCAAAACCTAAACCCGAAAGCCCTAAAGCCTTAAAGGCCCTGCAGGACCTAAAGGCCCTGTACCCCCAAAGCCCTGTACCTTTAAACCCTGAAGGCCCTAAACAACTACTACACGCTACTGAGCGCCCTAAAGGCCCTGAACCCTTTTTGAACCGAGAAGGTAGTTTAGGGCCTAAACCCCTAAAGGCCTAAAGGCCCTGAATCCTAGACCCCTAAACCCCTACGCCCTAAGCCTTAAGCCGCCTAAAAGTCCTGAAGCCCCAAGAAGCCCTAAACCCCTAAAGCCCTAAACCCTAAACCCTTAAAGGCCCTAAACCCCTACAGGCCCCAAGAAGCCCCCAAGAAGCCCCAAGAAGCCCAAACCCTACACCCTAAACCCTACACCCTACACCCTACAAACCCTAAACCCTAAACCCTAAACCCTACACCCTAAACCCTAAACCCTAAACCCTAAACCCTATAGCCCCCCCCCCCCAAAAAAAATGGTGGCTTGGGTCACCTCGTCAAGGCGGCCCTCGCGCTTGGCGTCCGGGACCAGGCCGAAGACTTCCTCCGCAAGGACCTTCTTGTTGCTTTGTGATTCGGAGGTGTTAGGGGGGGGTTCAAGGTTTTGGGGGTTTTATGGGGTTTTAGGGGGTTTTAGGGGGTTTTAGGGGGTTTTAGGGGGTTTTTGTTGGAAGAAGCCGAACACGAAGCGACTACAAAGAAAACTCAGAACAGACCAAGCAGCCCTGACACCTACATCTGAGGACCTTCTCATTGCTTTAAGTGATTCGGAGGCTAGGGTGTTAGGGGGGGGGGGGTTTAAGGGGTTTTGGGGTTTTTGGGGGTTTTGGGTTTCGGGTTCAGGGTTTTTAGGGTCAGGGTTTTTAGGGGGGGGGGTTAGGGGTGTTAGGGGTTTTAGGGGGCTCAGGGTTCAGGGAGTGGAGCTTCGACCTCTTCTCTTTGACTTTCGGTGGGTAGTTGTGTTTTTTTTTTTGGGGGGGTAAGGGTTATTCCAGGGGTTTCGGGTTTTGGGGCTTCAGGGGTCTCCTTGAACATCGGGGTTTCTATGGTTTTTAGGGGGGGGGGGGTTTAAGGGTTTTTTAGGGTTGTTTAGGGGTTTAGGGTTTAGGGGTTTAGGGCTTTAGGGGCTTTAGGGTTTTGGGTACTGGAAAGGAGGATTTAGGGCTTCGGTTTAGGATCTCGAAGTTTAGGGTGTACAAGTTTAAGGCTTTCTGAGCAGGGTTTTTACAAGGACCCTGAACCTGAAAACCCAAACCCGAAAACCCCAAGCTGCCCCAAGCTTTTGCCCCAAACCCTAAACCCTAAACCCTGAACCCTGAACCCTGAACCCTGAACCCTGAACCCTGAACCCTAAACCCTAAACCCTGAACCCTAAACCCTAAACCCTCTCTGCTTTCTCAAACCTCAACGCGTACATGAACCTCCAAGTCCAGTGGGCTCCCTGGGTTTTCAGGCATCACAGGGGGGAGGGGGGGGGGGGTCGGGACACCATGGGAGGTGGGAAGCGGGGGGGGGGGGGGTGCGTGCGCCTGGCTGGTCTTCGTCTTGGAAGGCGAGTGGCCCATTTGGAGGCCTCGGAGTTTAAAACAACGAGACAAGTAGGCCTCCTGCGCAAGGGGGGGCACGAGCTCTATGAATCTACAAGCTGTTACAAGCTTTCAACCTGCAGCTTACTGCATCGTGGCAATCCATGCTTCGCGCTGCTTGTGCTGCTCAGCCCACATCTGTTCCTGACACTGACTGAGTCTGAGTCTTCTCCGGCGTTTCCCGTCTTGCGGCGGCGACAACTCCGTATCTGGCAGCAGCGGCTGAGAGTTGAGTCCTGCTGTCTTGCTACTTTTCTTATGGTGCGCCTTGCTAAGTAGCGAGAGCGGATAGAGCTGGCCGAATGCCAGTTCAGCATGCCATGAAACAAATTCGCTGAACCCGAACCCCCCTGGCGCCACCACCTAGACACCCCAATTCCACCCCTTTCGCTGGTTGTTGTGGGAGTACCTCACAATGACACAATCTCCCGTAGATCCCGGCTCCGCTAGTCTTCCCTTCAAGCGCTGAAGATGTTCGGAGGCGTCCCTGTCTTTTCTTCTGCACGTTACCCCCAACCTGAAGTCCAATCAAGGCAATCCAAGCGCCAAGTCCAGGGACCAAAAAACAAAACCACAAGGGCCTTGCATTTGAACAGAGCAAAATTCCAGAGGAGACACTAGCAACTTAGTAAGGTTTATGATATTCTGGGGGCTATGATTATGGGGTTCCCGAACCTTGGGAATTTTACCCCCCTTCGGCAGGATCAAAAGCAGAAACCACACGCTCCAAGGCCGCGATTTGGGCTTGGCTTCGCACCGGCCTCGGTGATCGAAAGTGTCCTGCAACAAGGCGAGCTGGGCGCAAGGGTTTAGGGTTTAGGGCTTTAGGGGTTTAGGGTTGAGGGTTTAGGGTCTAGGGTTTTTGGGGTTTAGGGGTTTAGGGATTTCGGGAGGGAACCCTCTGAGAAATATTCCTAGACATCATTCCTCTTGAACCCAAACAGGGGCGAAGTAAGGTATCCCATCGTCTCTTACGGCTTACAGCCTCTACAGCCTCTCTACTTGGGGAGCAACGGAGCTCCGACATTCTAAAAGCCGCTAGAAGCAAGCAAAGCAGCGCTTAGCGGCTGGAAACACAACATTCAAGCGCCTTACAGAGGATTAACCCTAAACTTCCTAAACCTCCTAGACCCTACACTCTAAACCCTGAACTTGTTAAGCTTCCTACAATCCCTACGCCCCTAAACTCTCAACTCTAAACCCTAAACTTCCTCTCCTAGAAACCCTGAACTCTAAACCCTGAACTTCCGAAACCCTAAACCCTAAACCCTAAACCCTAAACCCTAAACCCTAAACCCCAGACCCTAGATCCTAAAACCTAAACCCTAAACCCCAGACCCTAGATCCCAAAACCTAAACCTTGAACCCAAACACCCAGAATCATCCCAGCCCCTCCGACCCTCCGCAGCCCCAGCTCCCCAACTAAAGGGCCCGGAATTAGGGGTTTGCGAAAATTGGGTTTAGGGGTTGGGGTTTAGGGTTTGGGGTTTAGGGTTTGGGGTTTAGGGTTTAGGGTTTAAGCTTTAGGCTTTAGGCTTCAGGGTTTAGGCTTTAGGGTTTAGGGTTCCCTTGACAGTGGGCTCCCCTTGACAGTGGGCTCCCCTTATACTAAGGACCCCAATAGGGTACCCTTAATTTCGGAAACCTGGGTGTCCTGCAACTCCCCCACATACCGGGAAGAGATCATCGTCCGCAACGGGCGGTCGATTTGAGGCCGATACCTGGGCTTAGGGTTTAGGGTATTAGGGTTTTAGGGGTTTGGGGATTGGGGTTTCGGGTTAAGGGTTTAGGGTTTTAGGGTTTTAGTCGTTTAGGGTTGAGGAATTCCTTAGAGTCTGGGGCCTGCTTTTCTTGGAATGTCTGTGAACCCGCCCCAGCTCTGAGACGCTCATCTTCCCCGCCCTCTGTTGCCCGTCTGGTGCCCTCCCAGCTTGACAAAGCCCAGAACCCCTAGCTGAGGGTTCAGGGTTTCGGGTTTAGGGTTTAGAGTTTAGGGCTTAGGGTCTAGGGTCTTGGGCCTAGTAGGGATTCGGGCCAAGAGACATAACAAAGACTTCTTACCCCCCTGAAGAACCCCAGCGCCCAACCTCCACTCGGCACCTCCGCACTATACTCCCCTTAGAACCTTAATGAAAATAATATGTTTAATATCCTCCTGGGTTTTATATAAACAAAAATTAAAACAACAATTCCCAAGGGGGATATAGCACAACTCCCGCTTTCACTCAGAGTTGTTGGGTGCCCCGGCGGGCCCTTGATGAGCTCCTGGAGGACAAGGCTCGCAAGGCTTTTGCAGGAACCCTAAACCCCTAACCCCTAAACCCTAAACCTTAAACCCTAAACCCTATTAGGGTTTGGGGAGTAGGGATTGCTTGAAAATCGCCTGGGGTTTACGATGTACATCGACGTATGGCAGGTCGGGGTCTAGCGGTTTTGAAGGGGGTTTGTTTTGTGACTCCAATAATATTTGGGGAGGGGGGGGGGGAGGGAACCAGAACCAAAGAAAATGACGCAAAAGGGTACACCCTAAACCCTAAGCCCATAAGGCTGCAAGACACGTTTTGCCATCTTATCGAAGATTGCAAGTACCTCTGAACCTCCAAGTAAGCCCCCTGAACCCTAGACCCCCCAGACCCCCTAGACCCCCTAGACCCTCTAGACCCCCCTGAACCCCCCAGACCCCTAGACCCCTGAACCCTGAACCCTGAACGCTCAAGTGTGGACTCTACGCAGACTCCGAATGCCTCCGGCGCGGCAAAGAGCGCTGAGTCTTCGGATGTCTGCCAAAGGTTTTGGGCTTTAAAGGGTTTAGGGTCTAGGGTTTAGGGTTGAGGGTTTAGGGTTTTTAGGCTTTCAAGGGTTTAGGGTTGAGGGCATTAAGGCGTAGTAGGGCCGAATGGGCTTTTAGTGTTCCGGGCTTGTATAAGGGTGTGTTCGGGTTTAGGGCTTAGGGAGGTTATTTCTCCAATGAGTCACTGGTTCTTGTGCCTCAAATGTACTGGGGCGCCTGCCTTATCTTGAGGAAAATTCCCTCATTAGGGGGGATGTGGGCTCTCTGGGATTGGGCTCTCTGGGCACCCAGACTACTCACTCAAATTTGGGGGTTTGGTTTTAGGGCCTCAAGCCTCAGGGTGCAGGGTTTAGGGCTTAGGGTTTAGGGAATGCAGGGTTCAGGGGGTCAGGAGCAGGCTTCAGGTAGTTCACTTCTGCCTGCCCCAGCGGCATGGGAATCGAGGAGCTCGGCCTGGGCAGGAATGGAACGGAACGCTACGCTGCTTGGGGTTTAGGGTTGAGGGGCCCATGCGTCAAAGAGGTCAGGAAGGGCCTTCTTGGGCCCAACTTGAAACCAAGTTTTCACCGGACAAGGGCCTTCTTGGGCCCAACTTGAAACCAAGATTTCCCTAAACCCTAAACCCTAAACCCTAAAACCCTAAAACCCTAAAACCCTAAAACCCTAAAACCCTAAAACCCTAAAACCCTATAAAACCCTATAAAACCCTATAAAACCCTATAAAACCCTATAAAACCCCTAAAACCCCATAAAACCCTATAAAACCCTAAACCCCTGAAAGTCTGATCACGGTGGGCACTTCAGGTCGCTACCTTGGCGGCTCCAGCTGATTCCGTGACAGAGCCGCCTGACAGGGTGCGGTCAAGCTTGAGGGTTTAAGGGCTTTAGGGTTTAGGGTTTAGGGCTTAGGGTGTAGGGTTTAGGGTTTAGGGTTTAGGGTTCAGGGTTTAGAGTCTGAGGGCTTGCACAGGGTTCACTGCCACAGGATTTAGGGCTTGTTCTGGGCCTCAGGACTTCAGGGCACGTCTCGGCTAGCCCTTCCGAGAGCGGAGTTCATGGTAAGAGTTTCCTGATTCTTGGGGATTCCTGAGCCCAACATGTTAAACCCAAAGGGGGTTTTTAGGGTTTAGGAAAAGGCCTCGGTGCTAGATTGAGAATGTAGCCGTGTTCCCCTCGAAAAGCTTTGCTACAAGCCAGCAAGCCCTCACACCTTCAATGCCCCCATAAGAAATATGCCGAAAAGCTATTTGAGCCCTGGGGGTTGTAAAGATGAAGGTGTGCGTGTGTGCGCTTCTTAAACATGCACAGTATGTAGCTCCGCCGACCCGCCCCTCACCGCCACCCGCCCGCCCTCCTCCCCCCCCACGCCCTCACTGAGGGCCCGAAAGGCCCAGAGGTTTGTCGCATGTCCCCGCCCTTCGTGCTCGTAGGGTTTGCCGAAAGCCCTAGAGCGTTCCCTCCCTTCGTTCTCCCTTCGTGCTCGTAGGGTTTGGTGAGTTGTCCCCTCACTTCGTGCTCGTAGGGTTTGATGAAGCCCTAGAGGTCTCGAGGTTTGTCGCATGTCCGCTCCCTTCGTGCTCGTAGGGTTTGGTGCGGGCGGGGTCAAGCCCGGGGCCAGGCGCTTCGCAAGCGGCTGAGGCCTCTGAACAGGCAATCATCATACAAATACCGTGGTTTTCGTGTGCTTGTACCCTAAACCCTAAACCCGCGTGGAAGCCGCTGCGAGAACCCACAGGCCACCGAGGCATTGCTCGCCTCTCGACCCTAAACCCTAAACCCTAAACCCTAAATCCTAAACCCTAAACCCTAAACCCTAAAAACCCTAAAAACCCTAAAACCCTATACCCTTTGCAAGAAAGTGCCCCCTTGGCCGGCCTCTATGTGTCCAAGCGTGTGTCCGAGCCGCGTCTCCATCTGAGAACAGGTTCTTGGAGGTTCATGGTACTTATGAACCAATTCTGACTGTACTTGCAACCCACTTGTAAGCCCCATAACCCCTTAAGTGCCCTAGTATGGCTTCTTTAAGCACAGGTATAAGTTAAGTCTAGTTATACTAAAATGCCTATAAGTACAGTGGCTACGTACAGTTAGGATTGGTTCATAAGTACCATGAACCTCCAAGCGGGCACAGGCACCCAGCAATTCCAAGATGGCCAGCTCTTTAACAATCAGGGTCCTCCCTACACCTAATAACCCTAAGCCCTAAGCAGAAACCCTAAACCCTAAACCCTAAACCCTAAACCCTAAACCCTAAACCCTAAACCCTAAGCCCTAAACCCTAAACCGCAGGAAAGCGTGTCCGCGTCCCTTGCTGCAACCTTTTGGGGGGCGGGAGAGGCGTTCGGATTTCTCGTTCCATCGGTGCCTTGGTGAGGAAGCCCTCGGTGCCATTGGAGAGCTCCGCCGCCACTTGCTGACAAAGCTCCACGGACCTCGGACTGAAGTTTAAGGGCTTTTGATGGGTTTTAAGGCTTTTTAGAGGGTTTTTGGGGTTTGAGGGGTTTTAAGGGCTCTAAGGGTTTCGAGGGTTTTAAGGGCTTTAAGGGCTCTTGGGGTGTTACGGGCTCTGAAGGGTGTTAAGGGCGTTGGGTTTGTAAGGGTTGTTTAAGGGGTGTACTGTAAGGGTTCTAAGAGTTTCGGGTGTTGAGGGTTTATAAGGGTCTTGGGTGTAAGGTTGAGGGTTTAGGGTGTGAGTGATATAGGGGGATGGGCTTTGCCAGCTTGGGCTTAAGGCCTCTTCTTGTAAGACGGCACAGACCTGTTCTCGATGTGCAGGCTTGGGGCTCAGAGGGCAGAAGGGCGAATGGGAGATAGTAGGGTTTAGGGTTTAGGGTTTAGGGTTTAGGGTTTAGGGTTTAGGGTTTAGGGTTTAGGGTTTAGGGTTTAGGGTTTAGGGTTTAGGGTTTAGGGTTTAGGGTTTCGGGAAAACATAGTAGTATCGTCGTAAGAATATTTCGACCTGCAAGTGTCATCATTAAACCTCTTACCTGTAGTCAGTGATGGCAGGATACAGTCTCCGGATTCAGAGGTCATAACTGGCTGGACTGTTTACGGTCTCGAATCATGAACAACGATGATGACAGCAGGCGTGTGCTGTTGATGTCCGCAGACCCGCGGAAGAAGTTGATCCTAAACGCTAAACCCTAAACCCTAAACCCTAAACCCTAAACCCTAAACCCCGAACCCTAAACCCACGTAAACCCTAAAACGGGTTGAGGGCGTGAGGGGTTGAGGGCCCTTGTGCCAAGATTCAGCTGCGTCAGCTTGTCCTCCACGAGCACCAACACCGAATCCACATCTGCCCGCCAGCTTAAGGATGCAGGGTTTAGAGTTTAGGGTTTAGGGTTCAGGGTTTAGGGTTCAGGGTTGAGGGCAAGAGACAAGCCGCGAACCCTCAACCCACCCGCAAACACCCGCCAACCCGACCAACCTTCCCCCTAAACCCTAAACCCTCAACCCTAAAGCCTTGTGGGCCTGGTTCTGGAACTTGAGAGCTTGCGAGCAACAAGTGCAGCCTTGCCTATGGAGGGAGCCCCCCCCCCCCCCAAATTTGGATGTCAGATCCCATGAAAGCTCGCAGACGCTCTTTATATCCTTGCGTACCCAAACCCCAGACCCTAGACCCTGAATCCTGAACCCTAAACCCTAAACCCTGAACACTAGACTTCCTAAACCCTAAACCCTGAACCCCAGCTCTTGATCTCCTTGGGGACCCCCCAGCCTTCATGGATCCATGCATCCGAGATCGCGCCGCCATGTTTGGCGGTCATTGAACTTGTTTTTATTATTCGATGCTTGGGCCCTTCCATCCTACTGAGTGCTGCACCACGTCGGCTCCCAAATTCTACGAGAGCTTCTGGTTCTAGAGACCCGTGCTTTTCTGTTGCGTGTGCTGAAACATGTGACCTGCTCTCCACCTCTGTTGTGCGATACGCTTGAGAACCGAAGGCAGGCAGGCCAAAGGAAGGCGCAACCCCAACTGGTGAAATTCAGGTCACCACCCAAGAAAAGCTGTAGTGGCAGCTGCGAAGTGTCTCCAAACGCCTCGGATGCTTTTGGCACAAGTGCGCCAGTCCAGGCGGCGAGGCAGAAGCACTCGAAGAAGCTCTGCGCTCCCTTGCAGTCCGCCGTCCTGAAGATGCCAGGTCATGCGCCCACATCTCCCTAGACCCGAAAACCGCCCAACCATCAATAGGGGGGTCTCCATCATATATGATGACCCCCCAAAATGCTATCATCCTGACCACCCTCAGCCCCAAAGACTACAAGAGGGCGCGCCCCCTATACTCGGAACAACCCCCCCCCAAGAGAACTCCTTCCAAGCTTCACGCCGGCACTTCCGTGTGAGCCTCCTCTGTAGGGTTCTTCAGGGAGGGGGGGGGGGGGGGTCAAGGCAGGTAGGTACCTAGGCAGCCTTCGGGAAGCTTAGGGAGCCTTAGGGTTTAGGGTTTAGGGTTTAGGGTTTAGAGGGTTTAGGGTTTGAGTTGTAGGAACCCAAAAACTCCTCAATCTTGGCGTAGAGGGTGTGATCAGGGTCTGGGTGTCGCCCAGAGCAGTCTTTGGCTTCGCTGCTGTACCTGGAACCTGGGGATGGTGAGGGTTTAGGGTTTAGGGTTTAGGGTTTAGGGTTTAGGGTTTAGGGTTTAGGGTTTAGGGTTTAGGGTTTAGGGTTTAGGGTTTAGGGTTTAGGGTTTAGGGTTTAGGGTTTAGGGTTTAGTGTTTAGGGTTTAGTGGTTAGGGTTTAGGGTTTAGGGTTTAGGGTTTAGGGTTTAGGGTTTAGGGTTTAGGGTTTAGGGTTTAGGGTTTAGGGTTTAGGGTTTAGGGTTTAGGGTTTAGGGTTTAGGGTTTAGGGTTTAGGGTTTTACAACACGTCAACCTCTATTTTGCAATATGAAGAAGTTTCAGTCACGCACCAGAGGCTGCTTCCTAGATATCCATGTTTATCATGGCGTCGGCTCTATAGTTAGTCGGTTTAAACGCCACAAAATCCATTTAAGGAACGGAGTCCTACTACTGACAATATGTGAACACATGCTGTGTTCGTAATTGGCGTTCGTTTGCAGGACAAAAACAAGGCTCCAAAATAAAGGAGCCAGATTACACCTACTATATATCTATATATATATATATATATATATATATATGTATCAACAAATGTGATATGAAAATTTCCGAATTATTATTCAGTTCATCCCTAAACCTAAACCCGAAACCCTAAATCCCCCCCCCCCCCCAAAAAAAAAAAACATGCAACCCAAGGACAGGTCTTGCCCTCCACCACGGCAAAGTAGTGGCATTTCTGCTCGGATCCGCATTTTGCAGCGCAGACCGCGAGGTTGGTGGCGTCCTCCTTCATGGCAAGGGCGGTTTTGTAGGTTTTAGGGTTTTTGTGGTTGAGGTTTTTGGGGTTTAGGGGTTTGGGGGTTCGGGGTTTAGGGGTTTGGGGGTTGGGGGGTTGGGGGGTTTTGGGGGGTTTTGGGGGGTTTTGGGGGTTTTGGGGGTTTTGGGGGTTTTGGGGGTTTTGGGGGTCTTGGGGGTTTTGGGGGTTTTGGGGGTTTTGGGGGTTTTGGGGGTTTGGGGTTTGGGGAAGGGCACAGCAAAACAGGCAACAGGACCCGAAGCCCCCATCTTGGAAACGTGGAGAAGCCACAGCCGTGGCAATAGATCATGGCTCCTTCTTCCACCCGGAGTAGTAGCCTAGGTTGGTCCCTCAATCCTTCTCTAAATATTACCTTCTGAGACCAAATGAGGGAAAATATAAACATCTTTTCAAGAGCCCAAGTAGCCAGAAATACCCTAAAATATCCCCTCTTAAACCAAAATTAGCGAAAACACAAAATCTTCCGGAGGGCCCAAGTAGCCTCCAAGGCAAAATCCAGTTCCAAGTTTTCGAAAGCGATGATCGACCTCTCGCGCGCTCAGAGGCGCGCCCCCACACTTCCCAACCCAGGGTTCAGGGTTCAGGGTTCAGGGTTCAGGGTTCAGGGTTCAGGGTTCAGGGTTCAGGGTTTAGGGTGTAGGGTGTAGGGTTCAGGCTTCAGGGTTTAGGGTTCAGGGTTTTGGGTTTAGGGTTTAGGGTTTGGGGTAAGTAGGGCATAGAGGTATGGGGCTCTTAGGGGGCCTTTTTTGGGTACGCAGGCAGAAGTTCCGTGTCTGCTTTGGCCAGAGCAGACCCCGCCAAACCAACGCCCCATTCAATATCTGGAGGCTTTGAAAACGAGGAAGCCAGGTATCATTTACGGTATATTCCTCACCTGCGGGGCATAGGGGTCTCTGGGGAAGTTCGCTTTTTGAACGGCAAAGGACCAGCCCCTCAACTTGAGACCATTCTCTACAGTTCGGAGATGTAGACTGTCAGGGCCTGTCGAGATGCTAAGGGTTTAACCGGGGGGGTTCCATGCATTAAGGGTTCTCGAAGTTGCGGTCTCTTTGCGAATCTCTCAGAATGTTAGGGTGCATGAAAGAAGCTGAGTTCCCCCGGTTTAGGGTGAAGAGGCTTGGGGAGACTGACCTTTAGAAGACAGGGGATGGTTGGGGCGCCCTATGTTTTTGAAATTCCCACTTTGTGCTGGGGCCAGTCTTTCTTGGGGGCTGTTGGGGGCTGTCATGCTTGTGTCGACATGAAAGCCCTGGGTCGCCTTCTCCGTCTTGGCATAGGTTGTGTGGTCTTCGGGAAAATACTGGCCCCCTTCTGTCACCCGTTGACTGCAGTCTCCGGCCCGGGCGTCGTATCTGGAGCAAGTCTTCCCGTCGTACAGCGCGAAGAAATGGCATCCCTCCTCCTGCTCGCATCTGGCTTTGCAGGCTTGTAGGTTGCCGTCTTCTGCCTGCCAACCTGCATAGTAGCCCTGCGCACAGTAGCCAACGCCCAGCTTGGTGAAGTGGAACACGGCCAGGGCCTCCTGCGTCTTCGCGTAGAGGGTGTGCTCCTGGTCGGGATGTCGTGCGCTGCAGTCTTTGGCGTCGCCGTTGTACCTGGAACAGGTCTTCCCCGCCACGATGGCGAAATAGTGGCAATGCTGTTCGGAGCCGCATTTCGCCGCACAGGTCGCCAGGTTCGTGGCGTCCTCCTCCATTGCAACGCCGCTGGATATGAGGAATTAAAGGGCTCATATAGTACAGTTGTCAAGAACGGTAGTCTAAGGTTCAATTTGGGCCTTAGAAGGGTACCCCTTACATACCCCTTTTGTACCCTATGCAAATTACGGGCCCACGCATCAGAACCCTTCAAAGGAGGTTAGGCACCATGCTCAGGGCCCATGAACTACCCTAAACCTCAACCCTAAACCCAATTGAAACCTTACTTCGAAGCTGGAGTTCACGCCGGCTCCTTCTTCCAACCGTCGTAGTAGCCTGAGAGGCAAAAGCCTGTGCCAAGCTTCCGGAAGCGTGGATCCACCTTGCGGAGGTGGGCACAAGGGGGCACAAGGAGATCTCTAAAACCCTCAGGCTGAGACCAAAAAGAACTCGTCTTGTGGAGGTCTTCGTGCGGTTTGGGAAAACTTTTCTCGCGCTCACCAAGGTTTCGTAAAGAGGGAAGACAAGAGGAGTTGTGGGCAACACCTGGCGCGGAAACTTTGTGGGCTTTCTCGTGCCTTCCTGCCTGCCTGCCTTTCCCGTTGCGCTTGCCTTTTCGGTTCTGTTGGGGTGGGGTGGGTAGGGGATATTTGTTTGTTTGCTTGTTTCTGTCCATGTTTGTGTGTATGTGTGTGTGTGTGCGCGTGTGTTCCAAGTTCGTTGTCTTTTTGTTTGGGGTGGAGTGTTGGCAAACCTCCCTGAAGTGCTGGGCCGGGGTACAAAGAGGTTTCAGCCTGCAGAGAGAAGGCCACAGTTCAGTTTAGGAACTAGGGTTTGCAAGTTGTGCCATGGATCTATAGGGTCTGGGATTCAAACCTATAAGCCCTCTTTAGGGTTCAGGCCTTAGGTTTCCAAACCCTAGAACTCCCCCCCTCCCCCAACCAAGCCTTCTCAGTCTTGGCGTACGTTGTGTGCATCTGAGGGGAGTAGTCGCCGCCCTCAGTCACCATGTCCTTTTCAGGGAGAGAGGAGGGGCATTCGAAGGACCGAGGGGGCCGCTTTTGCAGTGGCTGTTTTGGGGCTCCTTAGGCACACAAAGAGGATATAAGATGACATACATGTATGAATATGTATAGACCATATATATATATACAAGAGACAGGGACAGAGAGTGAGAGAGACACACATAGAAAGCGAAGGAGTATACATAGGGTGATAGAAAGGGCCCCTTCCCTTCGTCCTTGCAGTCGCCGGCCCGAGAATCATATCTGGAGCAGGTCTTCCCCTCGAAGAGGGCGAAGAATCCTAGGCTGGGCTACAGGGTTTTAGGGTTTTACGGTTTAGGGTTTAGGGTGTAGGGTTTAAGGTTTAGGCTTCAGGGTTTAGGGTTTAGGGTTCACGGTTTAGGGTTTCGGGCTTAGGAGGGTTTATATAGGGCTCAGGGTTTAGAGTACATGCCTCTAACAAACCGAACCAGGGAAGAGATCTAAACACTCCAGACCCTATCAACCCACAAGCTGCCCAAGACCCTAAACATCCCGAGCTGAAGAAACCCTAGACCCTAAACCTACAAATCCTAAAAACAATCCAAAAACACGAGCCCTACAAATCCTCAACCCTAAAACACCCTTCGAAACCCTCTGGCAACAAAAGACCCTAAAAACCATGGCAAATAACAAACTATTCAAAAAAACACCAAAAGCACTAAACGCAAGCTTCCAAAAAATCCCCCTAAACCCCCTTGTACGCCTAGCAGCGGCACTTGTCTTCTTCGTGGCATTTTGCTTTGCAGCCCTCGAGGGTGGCATCAGCTGCCACCCAACCTCCGTGACACAACGGAGGCTTGTGGGGGCTTAGGGCTTAGGGTTGAGGGTTGAGGGTTGAGGGTTTAGGGGTTAGGGTTTAGGGTTTAGGGTTTAGGGTTTAGGGTTTAGGGTTCAGGGTTCAGGGTTTAGGGTTTAGGGTGTGGGGGCTCAGGGGGTCTTAGTAGCCCAGCAACCGTATTATAAATAAGGGCACCCTTTTTTGGGTTGGTTACTTCAGGAGGGAAACCAGAACCCAAAGAACCCAAAGGAAGGGTGAAGGGTACCACTGGGCTACTATGGGGTTATAGGGCTTAGGGTTGAAGGTTCAGGGCTTGAGGCTTAGGGTTCTTGACGGGTTTAAGGGAGCTTTTGATGGCTATTCTGGAAGGTTTCTGGTTGAGGGTTCAGGGGGTTTCGGACTGTTGTTCCATGATAGAAGCTTCCAAGGCAAAGCCGATGAGTGGCTAAACCCTGAACCCTGAAGCCTGCGAACCCTGTAAACCCCCGTAAACTCCTGCAAACCCTGTAAACCCCTGTAAACCCCTGTAAACTCCTGCAAACCCCTGTAAACCACACAAACCTTCTTCGCCGGCGCCCGCCTGCGTAGTAGCCTTGCCCACAGTATCCGACGCCGAGTTTGCTGAATCGCTGGGGATGCGGCCCCTCCTGAAACATCGGGGAGCTGCTGGGCTAATTTATGGTTTGATTAGGGCTCAGGGTACCCAACAGTTATAAGATGTTATAAGTTATAACTCAAGTACACAGCAACCATGACAGGGAACTTGGTTTAGGCCTTGAGCTTGCCCATATAACTTGGCCCTACGTACTGCATGGGGCTTCATCCAGGTGATCTGCGATTGAGCTTCGCTAGAGCTTGGTATGACATTCTTCACGGCATCTACTCGCCGCAGGCCTGACTTGGATGGGTACTTCGACATCCCGTGCCGCACACCCAATCCCGACAGAAGGCCTGACTAAACCCCCGGACACGCTGAAGCCCAGAATCCTAACCCGTGCATCATGGATTCCCCTACTACCCCCCCTCTACACTATACCTCCCCTAGGGTCCCCCCATGTAAGGCTATTTAGGGTAATTAGTAGGCAAATAAACCCTAAACCCTAAACCCAAAACCCAAAACTAGGGAAACCCATAAATACAGACAGCATGAGCCTCGGTCTTCAGCTCCCTGACGGCGTCAAGCTCTCGGCCTGACAGAACCCATCTCTTCTGCCGGAGAGAGGTCGTGCTTCGCGGAGCCCATTTACCCCAAACCCGAAACCCGAAACCCTAAACCCGCAACCCTAAATCAACCCCCTCAGAGAAACAAATAGAACACACTTAACGCACCCCCCAACAAGGAACACCACTCACCAACTGAAAGCCTGCCTCGGAACCCCCCAGCCCTCGCCCTCCCCAAAGCCGGAAGGCTCATGGGGTTTAGGGTTTAGGATTTAGGGTTTAGGGTTTAGGGTTATGGATTCTCATAAGTAGGGTTAGCAAGTGCCTCTTGTGAGTAGGTTTCGGGCTTCGGGTTGACTTGGAGTAGCCGACTTTCCTTTCGGCTTCTTCACGGGGAGTGCATGCCCCTTCTTCAGTCCTACTTCGAGGACTTCTTGAGAGATGGGAGCTTCCCAGAATAGGGGGGAGCAGGGTACCCTTATATGCCCCGAATGAGCATAGTGCCCATGGTAGGAACCCCCAAAGACGGGTTCCCCCGCCCAGACTTTCTCCCAGATTTTCGGAACCCCCCATGCAAGGGGATAAGAGGAACCGCAGTGCTTAACTCTAGAATCTAGGGTTTCGGGGCCTAGGGCTTTGGGGTTTAGGGATTAGGGGTTAGGGTCTGGGGTTCAGGGGATTAGGGATTCGGGCTCAGGGTTTAGGAAGATTTTCGCGCAGTGGCCTGAAGCGTGACGACGCATGACGGCCTCCAATTGGGGCACGGGTATTGCTCACGTCGGGTCGAGATGGTTGGGTTACGTATAACCCTCCTGATGAACCTCCAGGTACCCCTAACCCCTACAGCCTATCTGTCCTGAAAATGACAAGCAATGAAGACGAGGACGAAGGTTGGGAAGAATGGTCACAAGCTGACTGACATGTAAGAACAACTGCCGACACTGCAGCGCACACCAGATCAAGGTGTGGGTTGTTTCCTAACAATCCCCTTCTACAAGGACCCCCCAGTAGCAGGTCCCCAATTTTGGTGAGAAATCCAAACGTTCCCAAACCCTAAACCCTAAACCCTAAGCCCTAAGCCCTAAACCCTAAACCATAAATCCTAAACCCTAAACCCTAAACCCTAAACCCTAAACCCTAAACCCCAAACCCTAAACCCTAAACCCTAAACCCTAAACCCTAAACCCTAAACCCTAAACCCTACAGACCCCGCACCTTCATCGATCCATCGGCTTGGACTTCAAACTTGTGGTCTGCGCCTTCGCGTCGCCTCGGGCGGATGAGGGCGCTCGAAATAGTTCATGAGAGGCATAGTATAGGGGGCCGGAAGTAATTAGAATAGGGGTTTGGGGGGTTTCGGGTTTAGGTTTAGGGCGACTATAGGGGCCTGAAATGATTGGAATATGGTTTTTTGGGGGGGGGGGTTGTTCTAGTATACTTACAAAGGGACCATAAGGGAATATGATTAGTAGTTATTCCAACCCCTGTATTGCTAAAAATGATATTCACCCGAATAGTGGTCATTGTGCTCCTGTCTGTGCTAGATATCAGCTTGAGTCTGTCCAATTTTGAATTAGGAATTCGATGAATACGATCCTAACATCCCAATCGTCGTGAGGTACGAACGGTAAGACGCTTGCCCTGATGAAACATGACCTTAAACCCTTAAACCCCTAAATCCTACACCCCTCAACCCTAAACCCCTAAATCCTGCACCCCTAGACCCTAAACCTCAACCCTAAACCCTAGACCCTCGACCCGAAACACCAAAACAATAAACCCTAATTAAACCATGAACCCTAAACCCTAAGCCTAAGCCCTAAAACCTAAACCGTAAACCCTGAACCCGAAACCCGAAACTCTCAACTCTAAACCCCCTAAACCCTAAACCCTTCAGGCCGAGGTGCACCGCATGATCGACTGCGGTATGCTTGACGTCTACGGCTCGTGAAGTCACCAGCAACACGGCCAGGACGTCGAGCACCGCAATGGTTCTCATGTTACCTGCGCTTGGCCCTAGGGTCCAGGGTTTAGGGTTCATGTGGCGTAGGGTTTCGGGTTCATGTGGTGTAGGATTTAGGGGTCACACGGTTTAAAGGTTTAGGGTTTACCTGCTTGGCTGCTGCAAGGCTGGAAGTTCCCTCAAAAGGAGCTGGAGTCTATCAAACCTCTGCATATCCAAGAGGTTCTCCACAGCCGGTCTCAAATGGGCAGCGTGCGCTTTGCTGTGGTGGCAGCAGGATTAGCACCATGCTTCCCGTCGTTTCCGGGGCGATACGACAAAGATGCCATGATAAGAGACGGGCATGGCGTGTTCAGGTGGACATGTGCCCCCTGAACCCTTTAAAAACCCTAAACCCTAAACCCTAAACCCTAAACCCTAAACCCTAAACCCTAAACCCTAAACCCTAAACCCTAAACCCTAAACCCTAAACCCTAAACCCTAAACCTCCTGGACTCTATGTGTAAACCAACTTGTGCATCTTAATGTTCCCCTGTTGGCATGTCATTCTTTTTTTGCTCTCGCTCTTTATTGCTTTCGCTCGCACAACCTTTCAATCAAGAACTCACGAATGTAGTCAAAAACAAGCGGGAGAGAACTGAATTCTTGTGCTAAAAAGCGCTAATCAGATAGCAAAATGCGGTAGAAGAGACAGAGATACCAACAAGATGATTTGAAAGCCTTTGTTCCTTGATGGCCACGTCATGCCATAACATGCTGCGCAAGCGGCACGTGGAGGAATGAGTTCACCAGAATACGTGCGTTCCTTCGCTGCAAGATTTCAAAGGCAGGGTAATGGTGGTTCAAAACTAAGCTGGCTGTACAAACCAACCCGCTAAGCTCCTGCCTTAAGGCTCAATAAGAGAGAAAAAACATAAAAAGCATCCCAAAGTCCTACCTAAGCCTTACAAACCCTATATATGTCTTATTTAAGCTCACCTATAAACAAGACCCCCTTAAACAAATCTATCCCAAGGTCCAAAGGAATGCTCTAGACTCACCTGCAAGCAAGGGACTTTAACAGGTTCGGCGCATCTGCGCTCCCCACCTAAAGGGAACCTTTAGGGTCGAGTGCGCCCGCGGCTTGAGCCCAAAGCTTCCGGAGCGCTCAAGGCGCTTGTGGGGGGTTTTAGAGGGATTTTGAGGGCTCAGGGTCTTAGAGCTCCTGTTAGGTTTCAGGTTCGAGGTTTCCCATGGCATCGCTACAGCCAGGCTTCCTGAAGGCGTCGCTATACAGATGAGATTGCCTCAACAGGATTTTGGCCTTAGGGATGGTTCGGGTTTCGGATTGGGGTCCCAAGGTTCAAGACTTGAGGATGTCGTGCTTTGCAACATGGTTGTCAGATCACTTCCCATCGGAACACGTGCAAACCAGTCAATTGCGGAGCTCGCGGCCCTAAACCTACCACTTCAAAACATCTTCTGAACACGCGCGCGCGCTCTTCACATGCTTGACAGTCAGGCAGGACGTGCTTCAACGGCATTCTGACAACCATGGGTGCTCACTGTGCCACTTGACAATTTTCACACGGTCGAAAGCGTTTCTGTGGAAGCAGCGCCTCGTCAAATTCACCGGCCGCACCATCCTGGATTTGGGCTGACCGAGGGGTTTGGCATCAAACTCTGCTGCAAACAATCTAGACTTCGGTTTTGAAGACATAATTTCCCGCATGTCAAAAAACGGTCAAAACTCGGTGTGTTGGTGTGTTGCTGTGTTGGCGTGTTGGTGTGTTAGAGAAAGAGAAAGAGAAAGAGAAAGAGAAAGAGAAAGAGAAAGAGAAAGAGAAAGAGAAAGGGAAAGAGAAAGAGAAAGTTAAAACAAAGCACACGCCGCTTTGTTACGGACATGTTTGTGTCTGTCGAGCCCACGTAGCAAAAACACACCCAAAAACCCGCCACTTTGTCACGGACATGTTTTTCTCCATCGGGCCTGTAAAAGAAAGCCACTTTGTTGCGGAGATTTTTGTGTGAATGGAACCTATGTAGCAAAAAAACACGCCACTTTGTTACATACATTTTGTGTCCATGGAGCCTATAAAAAAACAACACTTTGTTACCGACATCGTTGTGTCCATCAAGTCTGCAACAAAACAAACGCCAACTTGCTACAATGTTTGTGTCCATCGTTGCAAAGGTTTGGTGTCCATCGAGCCCGTGTAAAAAAGAAAACACGCCACTTTGTTACGGACATTTGTGTTTCCATCGAGCCTGTTAAAAAATCTAATGAAAAAAACGCCACTTCGTTACAGAGATGTTGATGTCCAGCGAGCCTGTTTACAAAGAAAGCCACTTTGTTACGGACATGTTTGGTGTCCATCCAGCCTTAAAAGACACCACTTTGTCACGGTCGGTGGCACTGGCGGTAGCCATTAAATATGATGCAATGCTGTGGGTCATACATGGCTACGTGAAAGTTGTTCTGAACGAGGATGGCCCTTAAAGCCCTCTGAAAAATACTCCTAAGTCTAGTCCGCTTAAATCCCAGTAAGGGAA